CCCAAGAAAACTTCATAATAATTATCTAAATTTTTACACCCTTAATTCATTAAAAAGGACCTTCCCTGCTTCTATTAGCCCCATTAAAATTGACGCATTGTACATACACTGAACGTGTACGACCGCCCTAAATCAAACCTTCTAATAACACTATAACTTCCTATCCTTTTGTATTAATATCGCTGACGCAGTAAGTTGTTTCATCAATTACGGTTTAAATTCGGTTAAGGTAAAGGATCCCTTTCGCATCAGCGAAATCGAAAATAAACTACATTTGCCCTAAACGTTTTGTCGCAAGGGTGTACGTTTTATTAGTTCACACTATTCCAGTACATAATAACGCAGAAGTAACTGCGAAACAATTAATTTTGCGAAATCGCGCACTTATGTAATATAATAAAGTAAGCAATATGATGTGTGTTGCTTTATAAATGAACCGATCCGTTCGTAACCGAGATATTTCTGAAATCACAAGCGATTGTTGTTTATTTTCAGCAATTAGTTAATTTGTGTGCACTTGCTTTTATGTCTACTTATAGATTTATTGCAAAAGGGTATGCAGTGTTATTAGTTATAAGGTCTGAAATTTATGGGTAATTTTTTATGTGGAGATATGGAAAGGTTTAAATTTATGCTAGACCTGGGGGTATATTACAAGGGCTTAATGAATGTGCCTATTTAAAATAGGTACAATTTATACATTTCTGGAGATAAAATATGGTTGAAATTAACATAATGGAGATCAAGCAGATAGATGTTACCCTTTTATAACAGCACGGAAGAAAGGTCTGTAATCGTGGTAATCATTCTAACGAGTTATGACGAATTATTACAATGGGTAAGGCTATGAATATAATAAAAATATACAAAAGAAATTAATGAAAGCAAAGGAAAAAATTGCAAAATTATGTCTGCATAGTGGAAATAATTTTCTCCAATAAGTAATGTGTTAATTTAGGAAAGATTAAATGTTATCTTGTATTAACGCCAGCTATTCCATTCTCGTCTTCTTATTATGAATCCATTTGTTATATTTAGAAACGACGGAGGAAACCAATTATAAAAAAGTTCCCTCCTTAATGAAGCGTTCCCTTAGAAAATATCCCACGTGCTGTGATAAAAAATAATTCCCACATAATCATTACAAATCAACTACCGAGCAAACAAAGTTAAAAAATTAATAAATTGCAGTAGATAAAAGTTTATTACTTTGTATTCAACACGCCAATTTTCAGTATAGCGTAACGAATTTTTATTGTTGCAAAATTTCTAGCTTGGAGTTTGATGATTTTCTTTTCGACTTTCAGAAGAAGGGAACTTTAAGGAAACCGTTTACCTTTTTAGGATCCTCAATAGGTTTTCCTTCAGGCTAGGCGCAAAGACTGCTCGAATTATTTGAATAGGGCTAACTAGATTGGATATTGATATAAACTGAGTAAACTTTCTTCGGGTTCAAATTTTGTTTATCTAAGTTCAGGCGAATTTGAATACTTTCAACTTGGCCGAAAGTCGATTGTTAGACGTGAAAAAAAGGTAATGTTTCATGATATATTCCGCTTTAGTTCTATACTATCTTGTAATCAGTAAGCCCTACAGGGACTGCATTAATGTACGACTTTGCTCCGTTCCAGAGGTTACAACTAACTGCAATAAATTCTCCTTAATTTTTAAATCCGTTTAAGGGAGATTTATAGCTTTTCTTTTTCTTTTATTCTATAGTAATTAGATAAATGTTCAGAAAATGATTGCTACGTTTATAGAATACCTACATCAATTGCCGGCTTATTCATTCTATTTTTACATATTTTTCGAATAAATCAAACACAGATACCGTAGTATTGAAGTTGTTCTTATTTCCAGAGTTTTTAAGCACAGCTTGATATTAATGGATAAATCAAAATGAATTTACTTGAAACATTAATAAAACTTGTATGCAAATATTTAAAAAAATCAATTCTTCTTCGTTAAAGCAATTAATTTAATAATTTGCAACGTGTTTACAAAATTAAATTAGTAAAATATCAAATCATTTTACTTGTACTGAAAATAAAATTAATAATAAAATAACGAGGATAATCGTCAAGACTTTAATGTTTCTCGTTTCTCTTTCGAGGATCTGTTTAAGATGTTCGAATATTTTTCGTTCTTTCCTAAATTGAGCGGAATGAAATAAGTAACAACTCGCCTCTTTTTTATAAATTTCCAAATTTAATAGTATCATTCACCCAGGGAGTAATTACGCAGGGATGTTAGTTATGGGCTGTTCGTATTTTATCGAGGTCTCTTAAGTACATTTTGATTGCGCTCAAAATCATTGGAAGCGTTATCTTTGGCGCTAATTCGCTTTGGGGATTTAAAAAGTGCAATTAGTTGGCGAACAATCTTTACGTAAGTACTTTTTTATGGCTTGATGCCTGAAAATATTATAAATAGAACTCGCGTAACTTTATTCATAAAAGTAGCCGAATTCGAGGGAATTCAAAGAAACAAATCAGCTCCGTTTGCTTTATTTAATCGAACGCAAACTTTTCTATTCGTTGGAAATAAGAATTTGCTGTCGTAGATTATGTGGAAAAGTAGTTTTATTGCTGGGAAATAGTTAAGTTTGAAATCGATACTAAAGTAAATAAATATTCAAGAATATATCGATGTAGGAGTTTGTACTAAGCAGCTTATTTTTATGCGATTCTGTAAAAATAACTACAAACTTTTCGTACACAGATATCGCATTATATAAAAATGTTTTCCTAAAGCTACTTATGCTTCCTATCTTTATCTGCTGATATAAGTACCTACTTATTATGGCTATATTTAAATTCACTGGTGATATAATACGGGAATAAAATAATCCATGCAATATTTTAAAAAGAAGATATTTATAAACCTATATTCAACTAATTGATTAGCAAGATACCAATTTCCGTAATGGTAGGTATGTACATCTTTTGCACCCAGCACTCATAAATATTATCGATTCTTACCTTTTCTAGCAACACATTACTTATATTCCAAAACTAAAGACAAATTAACGAATGTATTCTTCATACCGGATTGAATTATTCGCGTCTATCCGCGTAAAAAGCTCGACCGCTATTCCTGCTGATGCCAGTGAAACGTAATATGTTTCGTAAAATTACATTTTGCTTGTCAAATCGCCGGGGAGCAAGAAATTGTTCAAATTTATTTGCCAGGCAATAAATTTCAGTCGTGACCGTCGCGGTCGATTTATTAAAGTTCACTCGGTTAAGGGACCGTTAAAATTACTTGGAGTTTGCAATACATATCTAAAATTGCCCAAAAGTTCGCAGACTGTTCCGAAATGGACGCATATACCGCTCAACAGTACATAAAACTTGCGAAAACTTGGGATACTTGTCGAATTTAGATCCAATACCGGTGTCTATAATACATCCTACGAAATATCTTTGTTCAAAATGGAACAAAATCTGGACAAGATGTTGCAAGAACTACGTAGAAAAACTACTATGTCTTTGCATGATGATACTTAATTATGTACCCAATCTACTAAATGAAGTTAAGTCATTGTGTAGAGAGAAGAGCATTTGCCCCGGTATCATTAATATTGGCAAGGCGGATGCAACTGAAACTTCAAAAGGATAGCAATCGGGGCCTTCGGGTTTTGTAATTGGATCGGTTCAATTGGGAATGCATTTATTCATTTCGTTTTCGAGGATCGTTTGACTGGGATTTTTCTGGAAATCGATGACGAGCCGGCATACGTGGAGAACTCGCTCGAATAAATGCCTGATGTCGAATTGGAATACAGTAATAGATTTGAGGCAGGTGGGGCGGCATTTCCGTGTGAACGTTGTTTAATAAAAAATTAGATTTGTTACCGGCGTTGAAAAGGTCCGGAATTGAATTAAACTGTTTCCGAATTTTTAATGCATCTGTTACGTAGGCAGCATAAATCGTAACTAAATTATAATTCGCTCAACACCGAACGGTACAAAGTTGGATTGGATTTATATTTGGAATAATTGTCGTTGTAAATTCGAGCGGAACATTTTTGGTGTAAAAACTTTTTTAACCGTCCCTAACTCTATATAGAAATGCATGTATAAATACCTGCCTCATTGTTGACTCAAAAAGTTTATTTTAAGAAACGCAACTAAAACAATGAATTATTCAAGAACGGTTCCAAAACTTTTCGGTCGTTAGTGCTACTTTTTCCTTCATTAAATACCCGTTCTGACATCATCCACCTAAATTTTATCTTAAATTAAGCATTTAAGAATTAAACATCAGAAATATAATTGCAAATAATGCCAATATATTTTCCACCTGTATCTCCTAAACATAACGGTTTTTCTAAAAACATCAAAGGACAAAATATTCTTAGAATAGTCCAAGGAATAATCCCTTTAATTTTGCTTCATATTAGTGCATATTTAATGAACATCCTGTATTGGCTTTCGAATCAATCGTTTAGAAAAATTAATTCCATATGAATACACCTGATCAATGTAATTTGTACATGAACAAAGTAATACCTCGCACTTTAAATTCGTTCCCCTCTTTAAAAATCAAATTAAAGTTTCGAAGAAAGTTTTGCATTACATGCATTTCGAATTTACCATCGCAACATAGTGTACAGATACCGAATTCGCCGACCTCCATTTGGAATTTTTACATCTCGCCAGCTGCTTTTCGAAAAACTTAACGAGATTCTCAGCCTAGTTTCACAGCGACTCGAGTCACGCTTTAAACGATAATGGAACAAATTGTATAGATTTTCAAATCTGGCACCAGCCTCTGCTTTGCATTCAAAGAGAAGATGCAGTCGCAAGATGCTGGCTCGGATTTATAAAGTCACACTAAATCATAGAGATTATACTGTTTAGAAATAAGAGTTTATTCTTAGCTTCGAATACTGGATGATCTATATTTGTTGCTTATTTTTATCAGAGAAAATTTTAATAATGTATCACAACACAATGTGTTAACTTGTCAACTTATTTAATGCATTTCTATTGCAGGTAACGTGTTCGTGATAGCGGCGATACTTCTAGAAAGGAATCTCCAGAACGTCGCAAACTATTTGATCCTTTCTCTGGCCGTTGCGGACCTCCTGGTCGCCTGTCTGGTGATGCCTCTGGGGGCGGTTTACGAAGTGAGCCAGGAATGGAGATTGGGGCCGGAATTGTGCGATATGTGGACGTCCAGCGACGTCCTGTGTTGTACGGCGTCGATCTTACACCTGGTCGCCATCGCTCTGGACAGGTTTGTACTTACTCAATAACCTCCTCCAACTAATCTACTATTTTCCTGAGGTGAATTTGTTAAATTAATCCCGCGCGCCTTGAGTGACGGTTCAATTTTTTGAACAATTAAGGCGTTCGCTTTTAGTTAACTAGTGGAGAACGAGATAATTATCAATGTTTAGCGGCGTTTGGAGAGCGGCCAGAGCTTAAAACAAACATTAATTACAGTTGTGGTCGGCGCCGGTACACAATGTTTCGAAAAATACAAACAGCTTGTATATTTTCCGGTGTTAGCGTTTAGTTGCGGACCCGGCAAATGTTTAGGCGGGGCAAACAGCTAAATGATTGATTCGAAATTTGTTGTTTTCGGTTTTATGAAACTTCGGCAGCTCTTGAATTGCTGCGTTCTAATTGTTCGAGAGTTGTTGCTCGGCCGGCAAAAATTGCAAATAATAATGAGCTACAAGTTTTCGATTCGATTGAGTAGGTGTAGTGTAATTTTAGAGCGGCGTTATTAGAAAAGTTCGTAATTATATTTTCAAAAACTTCCTTTGAATAGCCTTCAATAAAATTTGAAACGGGCGAAAGAAAATTCGAAAGCCGAACGAAATTTTTGCACTTTTAATTACCGACGATAGGTTGGACTCTGTGGGAGTTATTCTTAATTTAGGCGGTTATTATTCGACGCTAAACTTAAATTAGTTTTTAATTAACGTTTATTAATTAACGGAGTAAATTGTGGTTATAAATTTCAGAGTCTTCGCCGAAGTTTTTTCATTATAGTTTAAATAGACTAAATAAAGGTAAGGTATATCAAATGTCAGAAGTACGGAGAATACTTACAATCACATTTAATTCAGAAGACGTGAAACTTAAATATTGAAAACTTGAAGTTTTCGCAAGAAGTTTACATGGAATATATAGAGGTATCGTTAATTATTAGATGGAAAATTTGAAATATGAGCTATAAGAAAAATATACAACTTCATTTCAAAGTTGTTAAATCAATTGAATGCTAATATTTGTAGTAAAACAAATCCAATGTATCGTGCCTAATATGTTACGTCTTCGATATTTCCTTAATTAAATATTCCTCCCTCTCATCCTATCTCTGCGAAGGTGTACATTTATTGTGAGGATAGCGATGAGATAATTTAAATTACAGTTCTAGACAATTGGATTAAGCGGAAAGTTTGCAACTAACTTTCCAGTTGCAATTTTCTACTTGTAACGACAGTTTATTTCGCTTTTAAGTAATTTGCTCGCAATCAAAGGAAATTTCAAATTGCATTCGTCAATTATTCATTCGAAATTGCATCTAAGTTTTCACTATCGGAGAAGGTGATAAATAACATTATTCACTCGATATTCAATTTACAGGAAAATTTAGATTTTCTTCGCTGAAAATTTTAAGTTGTTTACTATGCAAATACATTTGAATAGTTTTCACAGAAGTACTCTATTTGCTGCAATATTTCTCTACGTAATTTATGAGCGTTATTTATTTCTTTTTGCCGCCGTTGCAAAAAAATCCAACATCTGATTATATTCAGCGAAAAAAATGATAAATACCGCTTGAAAAATTCATCGTGTTTTGCGTTTTCCACGCGGATTGCCCGCTTCCGTTTCGACGTTTCTTCCTACTGCGAAAATACTCAAATGAATTGAGATTTTAATTCTATTTCGTTATTCGTTTCTTTTATTTCACCCGAAGAGCATTTCGAATTTTGTCGACGCTAATTCCATAAAAACTGAAGCTCTATTTTGTAATTATTTATATCTCGCGAGTTCGTAAAGAGCTCAAGTCCACTTTAAACCCCCCAAGCTCTAATTAAGGTTATAATAACCTATCCCAGGAGTCCGATATTATGCTTTCCAAAAGTATACAGTAAATTATGAATAAACAATTATTATTTCACTTGTTTGGTTTTAATTGATCTGTTACATTTGCTTCTAAAGATATAATAGTATTTACTTTGTATCTAACGGACAGCTAAATAAAAAGTTACGATGAAAATAAATTCGGAAACGCCAGTTTTATTGATCAATTCGCATATTTTAAGAACACGTATTCTCGTTTTTCACTCGTTATATGTCAGTACTAAAAGTATCGTCTGTATTTTAGTGCTGCATTTTAAGGGATTAATCGTACAAACGTGTACCTATAACATCGAGTGAATTGTCGGGATATGGAACGACAAAATCGATTTCCATTAACCGACAAACGCGCCATTACCCTATAAAGTCGATATAAGCCCTAAAAAAACGCAGAACTCTATAGCAAATTTTATATTAAACATCTAAGTCGTATTTCATTATTTTTAAGTTTAAATTCACCGAAATGTTTACAGCACATGCAACAGCACTTTGCAATAACGAAACCAATTTTCTATTTCTACTAAAACGAAATAATAAAATATTTTATTACCACAAAAGCTCCTTTCACTGATGTAGGTAGCAATAACCTGTACGATTTTCCACGCAATTGGGAACATCATCGAGCCAATGAATATTTACTGCACACACTGAGCATAATGTGATAGCCGGGGCTCTCGGCAGATAAATATGATAATTTTAGAAAATCGCGCCCGGGGGTGACTGTTAGCCCTGTGACAGTCCCATATTATATTTATTTACAGAACGCTCGCTGAATAGAAATTTACCTTACTTTCCAAGCCGGGATTATTCTGTCTGCGAGATACGATTACAAAAAATATATAGTGCTTAAAGTTAAACAACTCGTTGTAAGCAAACAGTTATTATGCTTAACATATGCAAGTGCTTGCAAACAAGGTTTTTTGTAAAAATAAAATTGCATTTTCCGCGCTTCAAGATAGAAACTGATTTTGAAAAGCCAATTAAAGTTATACTGCATTTTTTTTATTATAATTGCAATCTATGTTTTATAATAAGCACTTGTTTTCGGTTTATGATGAGATATTCAACTATCTTGAATTAAGCCGGAAATTATTTCATATATTCCAAACTTTCGTATCTTTACGATTACATTGTCAATCTAATCTAAACCAAAACTAATAACGTTAGGACCTTGTTCTGTACGTTTGCAAACAACATTTTATGATCGTCTAACGTTAATAATCCATCAAATTTATCGCGGAGTTTTATTGAAAATATATAATTATTGTTTTTTGATTGCATTTATTTATCCTGATAATTCAATCGGCCTAGAAATCGTAGGCTTATGCTATTCAAACATCATAAATCATAGGGCCTGTCTCGTTATACTTTAACCTAATCCATAAAAATATGGAAATTCTATTTGCACGCAAGATTAACTATCGCATTATGCCGATTATTCGGAAATTTTTTAATTTCAGATTTATTTCCAATCTCACATCAGAGATAACTAAATACAGTTTTGTTTGGTGGAAAAGCTAAAATCCAGAGCTGGAAAAACTGAATGTTTTTACGAACGCACATAAATGACTAGTGACAAAGAATCACCCTTAAATTTCCACCGAAACAAATCGCAACCGCAAACAAATACGTCTACCGATGATTTTTGCGTGCTGTAGCATTATTCAAACTGACTAATAATTTTCCACCGTGTCCCATTTTTCCGTCTCGGTGTTTTTTGCGCCGTGAAAACGTACTCGCCGTGTCACAATTCATAATCACTCGAAGCGGCGAACAATTCCCTGCTGATGACAACCCAAAAATTTGATGAGTATTTACCTTCCATCGCATCGCGGTTACGCCGTATCCGCGCTGGTTACTTTGTAGCTCAACGGCCGTCGAAATTTAATCGTCTGCACAAAGTCGAGCGACGGATGACACTCGTAAAACTTTTATACATCAAAACATCAAATGCGATTTTTATCAAACGTCCATTCTGTGTGTCCCATTCGAACCGGACGCATGAGGCTGTTGGAGGTTAAACGCTTTACCGCTTTATAATCGATTTGAACGCAGAATTCAATTTCGTATATTGAATATTTTTGATAAACCTGAGCGTCTTTCACAGGTACTGGGCTGTAACTAACATCGACTACATACACCAAAGGACCTCGAAACGCATCGGCATCATGATCTTCATCATCTGGTTGGTGTCGTTTTTCGTCTGCATCGCTCCCCTTTTGGGCTGGAAGGACCCGAATTGGGAGGTGAGGGTCAAGGATAAGAAATGCCTTGTGAGTCAAGATATTTATTACCAAATATTCGCGACGGCTTCGTCGTTCTATTTGCCATTGCTGGTCATTCTCGTCTTGTATTGGAGGATATTCCAAACGGCTAGGAAGCGAATAAGGCGGCGGCAGGTGCTGAGCAAAGTCAGCGAGGAAGGCGGGAAAAATCCAGCTGCAGGAGGAATTGCTGGTGGACTGGCTGCTGCAAGTGGCACAGGTATTATTTTTAATATTCTTTAATGCTTATACATGAATTATACATTCAAACATTGATGGTAGCATGTTGAGAAGTATAAACAAGCAGCAGAGGTTTATGTGTATGATCTAGTTTTGTACAGGAAAGTATACGAATTTGCCGTATTTACTTAATTTAATTTGTTTGGCTAGCTATAAAATTTGGCGAATCCGCAGAAAGTTTTCCATCGAAGCGGCAGGGGCGGTGGCGGGCGGTAAATTAAGGGGATTCTCTAACAGTGGGTTAAATGTACCGTGAAATGATCTAATTAGGTGTTTTCGTGCCTACATTTCCGACTCACTAGGCTGAAAATTGTATCGGTATCGTATAGAGCGGACTGTTTTTGAGGTAAGTTATCAGACGGTTTCGATCTGAAAGTGAAATCGGCCTTGGTTGATCCGATCGATCGTCCACGTTCCTCAAAGTTTATTATTGCAATCCGGATAATTCAAGCTTATTCGCTAAAACCGTGTAGGTATACTTACATATACGAGTACATATAGATAATATAGGAAGTATACAGGAAATAGTAATTTAGTGGGTATTTAATGAGAGATAAAATTTGGTTATTGATTTTTTTGTTGCCTTTCGAGTATTAATTGATTTTTTTTCGTTTTTGGTACTTTAAAAGGATTTTACCTAACGCTTTAAATTATGAAAATAATAGGACAAAAAATCCGTCTATGGGACGAGAAATTATTTTTCTCCGCGGAAAACTTTAATTTCGAATCGTAATAATTTGTAGGAACTCGGAGGCTTCAAATAACAATTACTGAGATTTATTTGAATAATTCGTTTTAATAAAAAGACCCTTAAACTTTAGCGATTTCATTCTAGTCTCGGCTATTTCCTTTTCTTTCTATTTTATTATTTTCGTCAGACTTCTCTTATTACTAGATATAAAATTTTAATTCTCCTGCCTTCGATTTCGATTCCTACTTTAATTATTTCGGGAGATATCGCCTGGTTTTAATTGCAGTAACAAGATAAATTCCTTTTATTTCTTTTGCTTCGAAATGTAAGTATTTACAAATTAAATTTTGTAATTAAACAAATACTACATTGATTTACCAACATTAAACTAATATAGTCTCATAATACATTGAACAACAAATACAACTTTTTCAATCTACTTTAATCCTGCTGTATTCTTTAATATTATACCCTTAACAACCTGATCTAATAATAACTTATCCGGCGATCTAGTAAAAAGTTTCATCAAGGCCATTAGGAATAAGTGCTCAATTCTCATAACACCGTGCCATTAATTAATTATTGAAGCCATCGATCACAAACTCCAGAAGGATAGCAGCCGGTGTTACCTTTTGACCATCTAGAGAAGATCCGGTTAATTATTTATAGTCGGGCCATTCGCGCGAATGACCGCCCAAGGACCAGCCGTAATGGAAGGGCTGGAATTAAGGCGCCGAACAATGAGAGATTATGGTCCATTCCGGCAAGACAATGCTTTCGCGTAGGACGGCCAAGTTGATGCTACGCGGTGGATTAAAAATTCATGGTGTTGTTATTCTGATAGCACGCGCGTCCGAAGTGTATTAAAGATTTTGTCGTGAAAAAGTATCTAAAAAATGCAACACCAGTAATGGCGCAGTAAGAGGATTTGGGCGAATAGGAGTTGTCAAGGTGTCACGTTAAGGGAAATTTTCCTTTTTGGGGAGTCTATAACTGGATAAGGTAAAAGGAACAATGCTTATTCGGGTGAAGATTTTTTCTACGCAGTCAAAATTTTACCAGTTTTTAACAATACATTCTTGCTATATTGATGTTGTATATTTCCTGATACTTTTTTTAATAAACCAAACTGTGCGACTGGCGTTATTTAAGGATGCGAAACGAAATGCATTCCATCGACGATGACTTTTGAAGTTGAAATGAAACTGAAATAAAACCATCGCAATAAATCCTTTGACAAAACTCGTTTAATATTCCAACCTCACAACAGCGGTCGTCAAAATTCAACAAACACATCGGATCTAATGCGGAACAAAAACAACGACATCGACCATCATATAACGTCACTTTTATTTAATCTTGTTCTGTCCCACATTCGATGCTATTAGTGCACTTTGGCCTTCTAAAGCCATCCAGTTTAATAACATGGAAACGCATTTTCAAGTATATTATGTCGCTAAAATATCGAATCTAATCAACCTGATGGACTAAATGGAATTAAATGCTGAAAATTATTAGCTACTTACTAACCTCGTTATGGTGTAATTAAAGCGGTAATACCTAAAATGCATCAAAGTGATAGGCTCGCTCGCTGACCCACCCATATCTCGCAGAAAAGATCCAACAAGTGTCTACAAGACAACTAAATCCGGTGTAATTCATTTCTGTTCTTCAACCTAACACGTCGATGCTCGTCGACTCTCCAATATTTCAAAACCATCTGGCCGTCGATGACAAGATCCGAAAAAAGGAAAAAAAATCCTTCTGTATTCCCGAAGTTTCTGGCCAATTATATGTCAACTCATCGATAAAGCATTCTTTTGTATGACGTCGGAAACAAACAAAAAAAAAAGCTCGAAGGCTTCCGAAACACGATGAACAATATTCTTTTCCGCCTTTATGGGACCGTTATAGGGGTTCGTAAATAGGGTAAAGTAAAAAACTGGAATCAATTTTCGTAAAAGCGTAGCCGTATCACAATAGGTTCCGAATAATCTAAATAACGTGTCATCGAATCTCATGCTCTCTTGTTCTTTTTTATGCAACAATATCGGATATATTGTCGTGTTGCTCTGCAGGTCGGAGAATTTCGAAGCTTTATTTTGCCGAGGACTCTTCAAGCGCGTTGGATTATTAGGAACGAGTACGATAAGAAAAGGGGCGCCGGATAAGGGAAGGGTAGAATATTTAGATGATATGCTTGAGTGCAATAAATGTGGGATAAATCTACCTACTGAATTGTAAAGCACTTCATGTATCAGGTTTATTAGAAATTGCGAAGTTTCACTAGATTTACTAACTGAAGTGATTCGTTTTTCAGGCGGTATAGCAGCAGCCGTAGTGACTGTAATAGGTCGACCATTGCCGACGATATCGGAGACAACAACGGCTTTCACCAACATATCCTCGAACAACAGCAGCCCGGAGAAGACCTCGTTCGCGAACGGCCTGGAGGCCGATCTGCCCACCACGACCGAATGCAGCGTCAGCTACCAACCGCACCACTACCCCATCAAGAGGAAAACCAAGGACGGCATGGACTCCAAGCGGGAGAGGAAGGCGGCCAAAACGTTGGCCATCATCACGGGCGCGTTCGTCCTCTGCTGGTTACCCTTCTTCATCATGGCGGTGCTGCTGCCGATCAATCCCAATCTCTTCGATAAATACTTGGTGTCCATTTGCCTGTGGCTGGGCTACTTCAACTCCACGCTCAACCCCATCATCTACACCATATTCAGTCCGGAATTCAGGCACGCCTTCAAGAAGATCCTCTGCGGCCGGAACTACGCCAGAAGGAACCGCCATTTCGGCGCCAGGAACTTTCAATGATGGAGGCAAAGTGGTCGCCTGCCTTCGGATACCGACCCACCTGTAGCTGCGCGGTAAGCTAAAACTAATGCACCTATTCGTCTTAAATTGTGTATTAATTAATTAATGTTTCAGGTTGGCTGCCATCGTTGCAGCTCCTGCGGTGGCCAGTGGGTCCAGGAACGTCACATTCAAATGCGACTGATCCGAAGGCAGGAGATCACTGAATGCGATCTCACCGTGCGTAGACGTGGAAAACAGCAGTACAAGTAGCGAGAACAGAAGGGTCATTTTAGAAATGCAGAATTTCTAGACATTAAGCGTTCAAATGCATGGCGTTTCAACGAAGACCTTCGGTTTGAATTATCCATAGAATAGACGATGAGTTGTGCACTTAATACTTTCATTTGACATTTTCCCCGTTTATTTTTAATTAGCTGTGAAATATTAAGTGCCCATTTCAAGTAGAGCGTTCAAATAGACGACAATCGCTTAACAAAGAATTCGATACAGGGTGTCCATTACGCAGTGAATGTAGACTTTTCATTTCGTTAAAAATTTGACACGGATCAAACGGGTAATGTAATGTGTATGTACTTGCTAATACGTTAGTTAAATAAAATTTAATTATTTTTATGACGATTGAGGGCTGGTTTATTACTTTTCCGAAAAATGCTAGTAGTGTTCTATCCTTTTTAACTAAAATAAATCTAGCTTAGGTGTTATTTACTTACTGTCCATTCTAATATTAGTTAAAAGGGACTTATTGGAAAGATAAAAAACTAGCCTAACTTAATTTATAAAAATCAATTTGTTTTATTTTATAAATAGTAGGTGTCGTACGTATTTTTGTCTCCATAACATGAATGTAGAATTTCTCGATTTCTAATTTGCATTATGTAGGGCTGTGATGAAACTTTTAGTAAGGGAAAAATTGTAAAGATGTGTTTTAAAATTCATAAATGATTTATTTTTATTCGATTATTCGAACCAACTGCTAATTTTTTGAAGACTGAAAATAAATCATAAAATTCTTATAAGATAAATATTTTTAATTACCTACTTAATTATTTACTGACTATTTTATAATTGTAGAAAATTTCTTACCTATGCTTTTGTTGCAAAAAAATATTTATGGGTTGTTATTATTATATAGTTAATATTTTTATATACCTAAAGAAAAATATAAATTAAAATCGATGTATGTATGTATATATCAAAGAACCACAAATTTATTTAATTGTTAATTAAACGACCATTATTGTAAATATTATAATAAACTGTAAATGTATTGCTTATATGTAAATATTTAATGAATTAATAATTAGCAAAGGATTATGAAAAATACTATACAATAATATTTATGAATATCATGCAATAAAATAGTATTGAAGATACCCATTCAAATAAAAAAATATGTGGTTGTAGAGAAATGTAGTGAAGATTTGTGATGTACAATCATGTAGAACAAGTAAAAAATGATGACCAACTTTTTCTTTAAAAACATCAAATAATCGGTAAAGATGGTGTTAATTTTCACCTTAAATGGTTGCCAAAATTGATCGATTCGATATTTTATCTGACATAAATAAACTTTGTCAATTAAATTTCAACTGCGAACATTATTGGATATGAACAGAAATAATAAAAAATAAAAAAAATTAATCACTTTTTTACCTACTCTACCGAATTTTCAACTAATAAATGTTATTCCTAGTTAAGTTAAGTAATTTGGCGACTATACTGAATGGATTAGAACAAACCATTACATTGTAAATTGTGATTTTTGTTTTATTTTTAAATATGTGATAAATACTGTAAAAATTTATGTTAAAATGTGCTTCCTAATTTATTAGGTATGTTTGTGTATATAAAACAAATTATGGTGTTTCGAATATTTTATGGCATTTTTGACATCCTATTGAGCCCAAGGTATGTTAAGAATGACAAAAATTTTAACGTCTATATTATAATTAGAAAAAACATTTTTTACGTAGGTACTTATAAAAATTATATTTCTGTTTTGTTTGAATCCTTGTCAGAATTTAACAAGTCATAAAATAATAGGTTTATTTTAAGATTTATATTCATTTGTCCCATTGTACTTTAATAATGGGACCATCTGAATATGTTTTATTATCATTATTATTTTACAAATTTTTATATTTATTAAAAGCTTTTTGCTGTACATATTTAATATATCTTTAAATTTTTTAAACATGAAAACTTTTAATTTTTAAGTTGATAGTTAAGTTTAATTGTGATATAGACAAATTCAAATTCTATTTACAAATCAAAATAAAAACCGAAATCTATTGGAATTTTATTTTATTCTTGCTATATTATTATGAATTTATGTGGATATGTTAATAAATAATTATTGACTGATACTAGAATATGCAAATGAAGAAGTTCCTACCATATTCAATAGCTCTGATGACAATGTTCCATTTAATCGAAATTGAATTGTCTAATTTCTTTAAGCCGAATTTAAAAATCCAAAACAAAATTAAGGTGCATAATAAATAAGGTAAAAGAGTGGCAAATGTTTATGAAAGCTTTGCAATGCTTCAACTCGGTTTTAATGCCATTTTAATAACTACAGTACATTTTTTATTCAACAATATAACAAATATTTAGAACTAAAACGGAAATAGTCAACATATATACCTTATTGAGTGGATTTTTTGTTTAGTTCTGAAAGTAACTCTTCTAGAGATTTTCCCGATTGACCTACAAAAAACGAAACATTTTTTCACAAATAATTTTCACATTATACATTACCCAAAAAGCATAATATATGAGCAACTATTCAATTAATAACAAATTAATAACATTTTGAAAAGTTATTTTATTTATTTTCACAATACAGTTTTAATAAATTTGTTTATTAAGATAATGTTATTATAGATATTACATTTGCGATTTTAGTAGGTAAGTGGTTAAAAAAAATAAAATTTGGTATTATGCTACATTATTTATCCTATTGTTGATATTAGGTCTATACTTCTTAGCATGGAACATTTCCTCACATTCCTGCAGAGAAATTTTATATTATTTTTTATTATTATGAATCAAATCGCATATGATTAGTGAACGTTATAAATAAATTAGTGCACATTATATAAATTGTAATAAGTTAATCTTCGCTTAAACAAAATTTAAATTATTATTTTAATATAAGTTTAAAATTTTATTATCTATACATACCACCAGAGGAACCCATGCTGATTTTAAATCCAGAGCCCCCTGAGCTAGCGGAACCACCAGCAGAATCACCTCCAGAACCACTTGCAGAGCCACCGGCAGAACCACCGGTAGAACCACCGGCAGAACCACCGGCAGAACCATCGGCAGAACCACCTCCAGAACCACCGGCAGAATCACCTCCAGAACCACCGGCGGAACCGCCGGCATCACCAGAACCACTACTGCTGGAGCCGCCGCCACCTCCAAAAGAAAATCCTCCACTAAACAATCCTCCAGACATTCCCCCCTCAGACATTCCTCCACCAGACATTCCCCCATCCCCAGACATTCCACCACCCCCAGACATTCCAGATTCCGAACCGCCGGAGGAACCTCCACTACCATCTCCAGATCCTAAAATATAGTTAAATTATATACAGGGTGACAATTTAATAGGATAAAATGACTATGTTATCATGAACAAAATAGTATCTATCTATAATAGTACCTAGTAGAATACACCGTGGTTTAATACTAACGTCTGCTGATTTTATAGTATTTACTTTTTTTGAGGTGCCGTTTGTTAATTTTATCTATTTAATTTTTCATGAAATACGACCAATATTAGTTTGTAAATTGTCATCCTGTTGATGTAATTAAATGCATGCATTAATTTTTTAGGAACTAGCAAAGCTTTTAATACAGAAAACAAGCATTAGTTGTAACTGTACAAAAAATTTTGGAAGGATTTTGAAGAGTATCTCTTGTACCGTGAGTTTATGAAGTGAAATTATGAAAGTGAATGGATTGTGTTAATAATAATCAAAGTGATGAATTCCCTTTCATTCAAAATCATCCCTTTCACTTTGAGTGAAACGACCACGGAAGAGACAAAATTGGACTATTGTTACAATTCGTTATAAATTTATTTCTTCTAGGTATCTTTTTTCTTTGCATTTACTGTCAATACCATCAGTACCTAGTAAGTTTTTCATTGAATCCCTTACCTTCAGCTGTACTATCATTACTTAAATCTGATTCTAAACAGTCTCCCTCATCTTCTTCCTCATCAGTCTTTTCATTTTCAGATTTTTCGTCGCTTGATCCACTTGTGGATTCTTCGCTTGACCCTGGTTGTTCTTTAACCGGTTTATTATCATCTGAAGATGATCCAGATATAGATCCGGATATAGATCCGGACATAGCTTTGCCCGTATCTGGATTACCTGAGTTCTTGTCTGTACTTGAACCAGGTTTTCCTTCATCTTTTGATATTCCGCTCGATCCTGAAAGCGCATCCGTTATGTTTCATAGTTCACTTTGGGAGTATGTAGTAGGCAATAAATAACACTTTTCGTGAGCGTGAAAATGAGGTGTGTAAGAATGGTACTTATGTAGGAATAGAGGCTGTGTGGCCTTCTTAAGTTTTTTGTACAGCTACAATTACAGCCTTTACATCTAGCAGTGCAAGCGATATTTCATAACCAATAAGTTAAACTGCTTACCTTCGCCGTTTTCTAATCCTTTGGGAGGTGTTCCCGTGCAATATTGAGACCACATCTCAGGAGTTATTGGTTTACCTTTGATTAAGGGTTCAAGTACTATTCTAGTACCACCTATAACTGCTTCGATACCTAAAATTGAGATTAAGCGTAGGTAATAGATAAAAAGTACTGAAAGGTTATCGTTATTACCTTTTGATTTCCCACCATCTATGATTGTCCTGATTGTATTTACAATGGCCAAGTAAATACTGAAAATTCTCTCGAAGAACGGAAGGAAGAAGTCCTTGTTTCTTTTAATCAGAGTCTTCCAGAATTCGATTAGTCGTTCAATATTGGCGTGAAGGACGGTCAAGCTCATGTGGCGAACTTTGCTGAACATAGAAACGATGTTCCTGATAATCGGCAAACCGGTGATTGTTTTTACCGGGTACGAATTCGGTATTCCCATGATGGTTTTGGAGATTGAGCTTATAATAAATGCGACTACATTCGCTACCCCTGTAACCATGGATTTGAAGCCCTGTTTGACCTTACTGGCTATGTTGATGCCGAATTTTAGGAAGAATATTTGAATGTCCGCTACGTGATTTACGATGAATCCAACGCCGCCAGCGACCTTATCCAACACATTGGCTACCATATTAGAAGTGAAAACGTTTCCCTTGCTAACGATATTTCCTACAGTGGACAGTACCCCTGTAACTACTTTCTTCACATTTCCAAGGCCCTTTGTGATCAATGTAAACGGCAATTTGGCAATCTTTAATTCGAAACTGAACGCGCCCTTTCCTAATTTTCCTATATTGCCGAAGATTTTCATCGGAATACTCAAAAAGCCTTGAATTAGGGATTTGAGGCTTAATTTGCCTTTTGTGGAAATTTGTATACCACCAGAATAGCCTCCTTTGCCACCTCCTTTGCCGCCTCCTTTGCCGCCACCTTTGCCTTCTCCTGTACGAAAGATTTATTTAAATGAATTATAAAGATAAGTAAGAGGTTTAGTATCATGAACCGAAGTTTGATTAGTAAATCCAAGTAGATACACAAGAGATTTGAGATTGATTATATTCGCAATTTCGAATCGAGACAAAAAAGCTTGAGTAAAAGTTTTCTAATAAAAGTCTCCAATGGATAAAAAATAATAATGCACTTTCAGTAAATTAGTATCTATAAATTAAAGTATAAAATATTTAATTTCTATTCCAATTAGTTAACTGAGTTTTTTTTCAATACATAGTGCTTTAATCTAATCAGCTTATCTGTAGATATACAGAAAAACTTCTGACAAAATGTTATTAGGGTAATTTTCTATAATGAGTATAATTTGTTTACTGCAATTAAAAATTTTAATTGCATACCTAGTTATTTTCATAATAATTTTGTATTATTTGCTTTTATTTCGAAAAGTACAAAATTGCTGGATATTTAATAGTAGGTACTATACCACAATTATATTTTTTTAAATCCGATATTGTGGGTGTGTACCCTACCCCTGCCTTCCATATTAAAACTCCATATTGCAAACAAATTTGCACATACCCCTATATTAAATCAACATTATTTAGATATACTACCTATATGCTTTCCAATATCTACACAATTTTAATAATTTTCAACATCCCTTGTGTGTATAATAAGTATCAATAACCATAATACAAAATAAAAATTGAATGTACTTGACTAGCTTGTATTGTGATAATATCTATTAAATTGAAGAAGATCAATAAAAAAAATTCAAACAATATTTACCTTTAATTTCTTCGGTATATCCTCCTGTTAGTGTTCCCAAGATTCCTTCGAGTGATTGTCTTATATCGTATAAAGCGTGAGAACCTTCTCCGAATATATTGCTTAAATGCGATTTAAGTTCATCGCCTAGTTTAGATAATCCACTCAAATCAATATCTATACTGGCCCCAGCCCCACCGCCACCGCCTCCGCCACCTCCTGCTTGGCCTCCAGCACCGCCGCTTAAACCGCCACTGCTACTTCCACCAAATGAGAATTGATAAGGTTGTGAATCTAAAACAAAGATGTAGGTACTAATTAAAGCATTCTCCCTATTTATATTTATTTTAATATTTTAAAATATTAATTAAATTTTAAATATTGCAGTATTATATTCAATTTAAATATTTCTCGATATTCCGGATGAACGGTAGTAAAATAATTATCGTTTTTTACTTATACAGTAAATATTAAAAATTAAAATATTTCACATTTACTTGTAATGTACCTATGTAATTATTTTTCCTGAAGAATTCTATATGAATTGCTCAGTGATAAAAAGTAAAATATATGCATTCAAATGTGGGTGAAAATGATCTCAAAGAATCTGAAATGTTCAGGATATCCAAGTAATCCAAGAATCATTTGCCAAAGAAAAGGTTAAAATAAATAAATTAAATAAAATATAAAAATTATACCTGTAGAATGGAATACGTAAATTAATACTACTAAACCCCATAAAAATTTCATTTTTGCGAAGTTTCCAAACTCTACCTCTCACAAAGTGGAAATAAGCCCGGAAAACATTAATTGTTCCCTTTTAAGTGTTTGAGTTAATTAAGACCAATTACATTTTCCATTATCGATTTGCTAATTAGACGTCTCTATGTGCGTAATTGCATAATTAACTCCTAAGGTCCATTTAGTCGATAAGATAGCTATGTAACTGTTAACGAAAGTATATCGTATTTCATTATTAAGGAAAATTAGGTATATCAAATTTTTTTTATTTTTTTCTAGGAAGTAGTGTCTCATTCTAATATTTGAAACAATTTTCAAGAATTTTAATATAGGTAAACTATTATAAATTGTACAATTTTTTAAAGAAGAAACATGCTAAACAAAGTTACAGAACAATTAATAATAACTTCTTGTGAAATGAGTGAAAATACATTTATATTTTAAAGCCAATACAATCAGGCAATTTATAATTTTCATTAATTTATTTTTATTATTTTACCGAAGGAAGTAATTGTACACCTTCATTATAGACCTGAAATAGGTTGTGTAGATCTATTTGTAAAATTCTAAATTTTGAGAGCATTTTTATCTGTATACCTATACTTAATAAGGGTCATGTTTATTCAATAAGAAAAATATTCGTTCCTATTTGAAATTGTCTTAAATTTATAGTTAAAATAATGTATTAATTTCAATCTTCTAAAGGAATTTCTAAGGAAATGGATTATTCAAACAAATTTATTTAGTGAAATCCCTCTCAAAATTTTAATAATTAACTACTTTAAAAAATACGTAGTAACTAAAAAATTATGTGATAAACTTTTCGAGTAACAACTTGTTTTTGTTTCAATTAGCATTTTTAGATATATTTATTACGAAATTGTTTTTGAACTAATTTAGATAAAAAAAATACCAATAGTATTTCTTATTCTAGTTATGAACTTTTAAAGGTTTTACTTCATCACGCCTTTAAACCAATTATAATGAAGAATAAATAGTTTAGCAAAAAGTTAAATGAAATTTAAACTAACTTGCTTAAAGTTGTAAGTTTTAAATAATAAAAATTGTTTTTATAGACAATTGCCCTTTAATCATTAATAGAATTATATTATTGTAAACTATTTGAAAAAATTAAACCAAGAAATTGAAATTTATGCATAATGATTAATGCATAATGCATAATGCATAGTAATATGCATAGAAACGACCAAATCTCCAAAAGATATACATTATGGAAATTTTAATTTTGTTCAACTTCGACATAATAATCCGTAATTTCTATTTAAAGTTCCTTTGCTCATACATTTCATGCATTTCTCATGCTTATGCATTTCTTATGCATTTCACATGCATTTCAATATTCAATAAAATAAAATAACATAAGTGACAGTGACAAAAAACAGTTCGTTTGGAACAGTAGTTCCGTAAATTCACTTCCCACCTCTATTATTCTTGACAGTGACACTGACACTACTGACAGTAACAGTGACGTTTAATTTGCAATATTTTCAATTTTGGCAATTCACAAATTGCGTTTGTCATGAAGAGGTATCGAAAATTTGTTTATCAAATAATGTATTCTTTAATTACTTTCTTGTCCACGAGTACGATCGAAAACCGTTCAAAATGAAACTAGTGTCTCAAGATATCGATAAAAACAATGAGGGGTAAGTTACTTTCGAATACTTTGATGAGGTTATGTCACATGTAAGGAAACACCACCTGTCAGGTTTATTTTTACTTATGTACATTCTTGTTGCCCTAGTACTTTCAATTTGTAAAGTTCATTGAGTAAATATGAAATACAAATTCCGAATGAAAATATTTCAAATGAAGCAACTCGATCCTTTTCAGTCAAGTTACCCTTGTACCCGAAGAACGCGAGGATATGTGGCACGCTTACAACCTCATATCCGAAGGAGATTCAGTTCGAAGTACGACAATTAGAAAGGTTCAAACCGAATCATCCACCGGTTCTTCTTCGTCCAGTAGAATCCGAACAACCCTTACCATCACCGTAGAATCCATAGATTTCGATACTCAGGCGTGCATGTTACGATTGAAAGGAAGAAACATTGAAGAAAATCAGTACGTCAAAGTAAGCGCCAAACATCCTGTTAAAAAACGCAACTATAACGAATATTCGCTTCCAGATGGGTGCTTATCACACGTTAGACCTTGAACTGAACAGGAAATTCACTCTCAAGAAGCACGAATGGGATTCCGTGTCGCTCGAACGCATCGACATGGCCTGCGATCCTACGAAGCTCGCAGACGTGGCTGCTGTCATAATGCAAGAAGGCCTGGCCCACGTCTGTCTCATCACATCGAGCATGACTTTGGTTCGAGCCAAAATCGACGTGACCATCCCGAGAAAGAGAAAGGGATACGTTCAGCAGCACGAGAAGGTGATTATAACTCTCACTGTGACTATTTTGTTTGTGCGTTTTAAAATGATGATGACGTCACGAGTCAGCATGTTGCAACGTTGCCAGGTTGTCATTGAAATCCTTTATATGGAATCATTTAGAACGCTTCAGAACCGTTTGGAACTCTCCAGAATCATTTAGAACTGTCAGAATCAATTATAACTGCCCAGAACCATTAAGAACGCTCCTGAACCAATTAGAACTGTCTAGAATAGTTTCGAACGCTCCAGAACTATTTCTAAATGTCTAGATCCATTTAGAACGCTCCAGAATCATTAAGAACACCCCAAAACCATTTAGAACTGTTTAGAGCCATTTAGAAATGTCTAAAACTATTCTCTAAACTCCAAGACTAAACTCCAGAACTTTTTTTAACTGTCTAGATTCATTTAGAACACTCCAGAACAATTTAGAACTGTCTAAAAGCATTTAGAACGCTCCAAAATCATTTAGAAATTTTCAGAATCATTTAGAACGCTCCAGAACTATTTCTAACTGTCTAGATCCATTTAGAACGCTCCAGAATCATTAAGAACACCCCAGAACCATTTAGAACTGTCTAAAACCATTTAGAACGCTCTATAATGGTTTAAAACTTTCATTTTAAAACGTATACGAACTTTACAATTATTTACAGGGTTTGGCAAAGTTTTACGATCAAGTAATGCAGGCTATTCTTCGACACATTGACTTCAATATCGTAAAATGCGTGTTAGTTGCTTCCCCAGGTTTCGTTAAAGATCAATTTTACGATTACATGTTCCAAACAGCGGCTAAAACCGACAATAAACTTTTACTAGAGAATAAGTCGAAGTTTAAGCTTATTCACGCTTCTTCGGGTTTTAAGCATTCTTTAAAAGGTACGAATCTATTACTAAAGTGTAGTGAATGCGATACATTGAATATATTTCAGAGGTTCTTCAAGATCCGCAGGTTATTAACAAAATATCCGATACGAAAGCTGCTGGTGAGGTGAAAGCACTGGAGGCTTTCTATACGACGCTTCAGATTGATCCTTTGAAGGCTTTTTATGGCAAGAAGCATTGTGAAAAAGCGAACGACGAGCGTGCTATAGAAACCTTGTTGATATCTGATAGCTTATTCAGGTAATGGTTTGTTTCGTTTGAAATTTTTCAACATATTCTCATTAAATTTTATGTAGATGTCAAGACGTTCAACTGCGTAAGGAGTATGTTAATTTGGTGGATTCTGTGAGAGAATCTGGAGGAGACGTTAAGATATTTTCCAGTCTACATGTCTCGGGAGAACGTAAGTAATTTCTATTATTATTATGAAGCAAAAGGATACAATCCTATTTTATTTAGAACTAGAACAATTGACTGGGGTTGCAGCCATTTTGAGATTTCCCATGGAATTAGAAGACGAAGACGACGAGGAAATCAATTAATTTTCATTCGCTATAATTTAAACTGTTGAATATCAATCAATTTTTCTTGTTTATTGATTTATTTAACTCCTTAGCTAATGCAAATTATTTTTTAAAGTGTTACGTATTTTTGTACAATATTTATTTGCTCAAATACAAGTTTAATTTGCAGTACTTTTAAATGAAGTTTTACAGGGGGTAACACAGTGGAATTTGAAAATGTTCTAATCTTAAATAATCGGATGTAAATTAGTTTTTTAATGAATTGTTATGTATGTTTTGTAATGGAAATGTTGTTCTAAGTGTACATTAGTGGATTTGATGTACATTATAGGTAATTTATTTTTTAGCAAATTTTTTCGTAAATAAAATTTGAATAGCACTAAAATAGATTTGTTTACGTTTATTTCTTTGATAGCAGGTTAAATTTTGTATTTTAAAAAAATATTTCAATAAGTCAAAATGTTTTATTATACATATCAAACTCGTTTACAAGAAATGCTTAATTTGTTACGATTTTCTTTTTAGGTTTTTCGCTTTTCTTCTTCTCCTTTTGTCCCTTTTCCTTTTCATCATGTAACCTTCGTTTCTTACGCAACAACCAAATTTCCTTAGCTCTCTTCTGTTTTCCTTCCATCATGCTTTTATACAAATGGCGATGTTTGTTTTTAATCATTTTTTCCCTCAGACGGAACTCCTGCCTCTCTTGCCTGGATTTCTCCCACGGAATTTCTTTGTAAACTTCTCCAGTGCTCACAGAAAGTTTGGGTTTCTGAAATAACATCAATATAAAAAAACGTATCTACAAAATTCATATGCTTAATATTTACCTTAGACACATTTTCTTCATTATCTTCTTCACCTTCCTCATCTTCTTGATCATCATTGCCTTCTTGTTCCTCATTTTCTTCATTATCATCTTCTTCATCATCATCCTCATCGTCGTCGTTTTTCTTATTCTCATCATTTTTAAACTGCTCCTCTAATTCATTTTCATTATACAAAGCTCTAGCTTCTGGCGGAATGTATTCCTGGTCCTTTTCTGGATCAATAAACGGAGATAAATGTGGAGGAAGTACTTCACCCATGAAATATTTCTGTACAGGCAGAAGATCTCGTGCATTAACTGAATCAAACACCCATTGCGGTTGGATATAATACCTGTTTGAATAAAAATTGCAATAGTTAAATGAATAATTATTTACTGGTAAATTTATACCTAGATATGAACTGTTTCTCCATAGATGGCCTATCGACTATTTGATGTGTTATCGTTTCATCATCTTCATCGAAAGTGGATCCTACGAATAATGTTTTATCCCAAGAGACTTCACCTCCGAAACATCTAATAACAAAAACAAGGGGTTCCCTGGGCACTTCTCTGTTTAAGTAGAATTTTTGCCCTTTAAACAAATTCTTCAAGTTCTTAACTTTCTCCAGTTCCTTGCGGATCTCTTCTTGTTGTTCTTCATTTGCTTCGCTGCCATCCGCGTTGAATTTATCTATCTCGAAATCGTCTTCTACGAGTTCGTTCGAAGTCTTCGAAACTGGTAGATTCAAGGCTGCTACCCTTTCTGCGACGAATATATCTTCGTCTACTAACTGCTTTTCTTCGTTGTTCTGTTGCAAGCAACTGAACTTGGGCGGGTAATACAAATTCAAACCGTGATACAATCTGAAATTCACGAATCCCAGCATAACGGTGTAGAATTCGACGAAAGTAGACATGACCTTAAAGTCTACTTCGGCTTTAGACATTGGAGTAAACGAGAAATGGTGGGGAACAATCCAAGTGATTGTTTGGCCTTTTATTTCGGCTTGGAAATAATATCCCTTGATTGATACGAAGACTTTTCGCAGGAGTTTGCCCTCTATTACAGCGTGAAGGAACTCTAATGTTAATCGTCTGCATAAAGCCGACTGATCTCTGGGTACGTGCGCTAGAGAAGGGAACGTACTGAATAGGAAGCACAGTGTTAAACAATCGTCCAAGTCCTTAAGGGCTTCTATGAAAGTAGGGTATCGTTCCTTAACAATGTGATCCAATTTGAGAGTCGGGTGGTTGTTGAGATACTTGTTCAGCTTTTCGAAATCCTTAACCGCCCTGGCGCGTCCTACTTTTTTATTGAATATTTTATAATCCCTCAAACGCCAAACTATGGGCTCGTGTAGTAAAAATTGGATGTCTTTGACATGATAGAGGGTCCTGATTCCAGCTTTTCCTTTCTGCGCTCTCTTCCTGTTCCTTGGCTCTCTAGGGTAAATGCCCTTCAATATGCAAAGTTTCCTGAAATCGTTCAGAGATAGCTGCAATTTTTTCAAAGCAGATTTTCTCGTCATGAACTGGGCACCTTCGCCGCTTGTATACTGCAATCAACAAGTAGGAGTCAATATAATAAAATAAATATAATTTGTTACTGGTACCTTCTTTTTCCTATTGACCATGATTATTTCTATCACAATATCAAAATTTTATTTTTCACGTGTGTTACCTACTGTTGCTTGTGCAGAAAGGAGGTTATGTTTATTGTCAAAGTTGTCATATGTAAAAATCTTCTTTTTTAAGTTGACTATAATTTTACGATTATTTAGTTTAAAAATTATAAGATCTTTTCGAGTTTATTCAAATATATGACATTTTTGGATAATTATACATTATCTCGTGAATACTTTAGATAGATAGATAAAATTCAATTTATAGGGATAAAATGACATGTTTAAATTAAAATAATTTATTGAACAAAAAAAATTAAATAATCAATAATACTTTCAATTTTGTATGTGTAGTACAGAATCATTTGATGTTTATTCACTTTTTAATCTGAAAAGAGGAAAATTTATGTTTATTTCCAGTTTGTTCATTTGTAAAAACTGCTTTGTCTATTCTCGAAGAGGGGCTTCCTACTTCTTGTAACCAGTGTTTCCTAAAAAAAAAACAATAAAACATCCCAGTAAATCAGGAATATAAATAAGAGTGTCTACATCTGGAATAACATCTCTTGAAAGATAAGTTATTAAGCTACTGTTAATTTTCAGCTAGATATAATTTTTTTGAAGACCTGAATGTGAATTGGCATGACTTACATTTTTTTTATTGGTTCAGGAGCACCTTCTATCACTCCCTTAACAGTATTATGTGAGGTATTCATACACCATCCTTTAAGACCTAAAGTTTTCGCTTCTTTTTCCGTATTCTGCAAAATATAAATCTACGACTGAAAAACTTACAAAACTAAAACTACATGAACAAACTAATACTGTACCTAAATTATACATTATTTAGCAAAGATTACTTACTGGTTACTGGTTATATTACATAACGTTTCAAGCTACCTACCTTTCGAAAAAATACCCCTAGAATAAAACCCAGAAGCTAAGTAAACCGAGTTTTATTAATATAGTTATTAATTTATTACCTTGTACTCTGCCGAATACTTCGAAATCAACTGACACGACTTTCTGTTCTGCAGAACTCATATTTTCCTGTAATAGACATAAACAAACAATAATGGCCAAAAATAAACAAACTTTGACAACCATTTGAATCGACTTGACAACTAACAAACGTCAAACAACTTGTCTTTTGTTTATTTTCGTAAGCGATGGTCAAATTATCGAAAAAAGAATCGAAACAGAGCATGTAAATTATTTCAATTGCACATTATGAACATTTAACAGTCTATATTATTGTTTACTGGTTTCTAAAAACAAAAATGTTTGCTTGTGTCTCTTTTAATCGCAAGTTGCCTGTTTTGTTAAAGACATTGACACATTTGACACATGACATAACGAAAATTGATCTTGGCTTTAAAAATTAAACAAAAATTTTTGTACTAAAATCAATCGTTAAAATACCAATTATATCTCATTTCGGGGTCTAAACGGAATTACGCAGTGCGAATAATAAAATTCAATTCACAAAGCGCTAGCAATGCCCATTAAAACGCTTGGTGGAATGTTTTGTGAACCGAAATCGACGTGTACGAGAAATTTCGTTAAAGAAAACGTTAATTCTGTATGTCATTTGCAGTGCTTGATCAAAGGGCCAGGCACCATGAGAAGATCCGCTACTTCGAACGATTTAACCAAAATGGAGAGAAATAGCAGGAGACCAGTGGCTCCCCGTAAGCGGAGGAGCAGTCACAATGTCCAAGCAAACAAACACAGCAATATCGTTAAGGATATTAAAATTAACGATAATATCGTTAAACCTGACACTTCTACTTCTAAGCAGACTACTTCGAGCCAGACTTTCTCAGAGAGGTCAGTGCAAACTTTGGAAACCAATTCGGAACGTTTGGGGAGCGTGAAAACTCCAGATTCAGTCAATTCGATCGAAGAGGGCATTCAAGTTTTGCACGTCAATGCTAATGCTAGTGATAAAGAGGAGACATCTGATTCTAGCATGAGAACTACGAAAATAGGCGATAACAAAAGTAGCAGTAACAATATATCGATCAAAAAGCCAGACACAACTCAAAAAAGGAGTGATAATTGTGAAAATTTTAACGCGAATTGTCCACGCGGATATAGATTAATACCAGAAAGCGAACGATTAGACACGTTAGCGAACCTCAAGAAAAAGTATTACAATAAAATTCAAGAGCTTAATTCGCTGCCCTTCACGAAGGACACGCTACGAGTGCAACAGAAACGCACCGAAATCGAAAAAGATTTAAAAAAAATAGACGCAGGAGTGCAAATGTTTGATAGAAGTAGAGTGTTTGTAAAAGATTGTTAGAAAAAAAATTGTAAGTTATTGCACTAGTCATTTCTCACGCATTGTACTTTTTGTAGTTGTGGTACCTGAAAATATGTAAATGAAATTTATAATTAGTAGCCGTTTATATGTGCACATCCGTCCGTTTCTCGACGTTCATTTTCTTTAATAAATCGACCATTATTTGTTGTATTGAAATAAATATTTTGAAATGGGTGACAGAAGTACTATTTGTAACCGATATTCTGATAGTATTAATAAATTTATACTTCATGTTCCCAATCGTATTATTTAAATAAATTTTAACTAATAATAATTCTCAAAAATAAACTTCTTCTTTTTTTCTTTTGGCTTAAAAAATAAACTAACTTTGACAATTAACAGACGTCAAATGTCTTTTTTGCAGAGACAACTTACGTAAGTTGTCTCTGCTTTTTTGTTTACTTTTGTAAGCAATTGTGGAAACATGGCATGGATTTACGATAAGCTGGAAATAAATTAAATTAAATTTAACTAATTCAATATTTAAAACCATAGACAAAATAAAAGACATCTTTCTTTCTCTATGTTTAAAACCATCACCCAAATGATACATAATGCAGCCTACAACTAACTGAATAATAATTAAGGAATAGACGCAATTGAAAAAGAAGTGTTCAAAATGTCATCCGTCAAATGTCAAATGAAATATCAATGTCAGTCAAATCAAAACACGAAGGGGGGAATAGTATGTAATTCGTTTTATTCAGTATGTAAATATTAGTTTGCTTTCCGTAAGCAGGACAAGTAATGCGAAATGTTAAGCGATCATTCTAATTAATACAGTGACCAAAAACAATGACAACTTTACTCGTTTCGGCTGCAGAGTTTTCGAACATTATATCAGTATTTGCAGTGCTGTTGTGTTTCTGTGCTATGATTTTATTCATAACAAGGTATGCTTCTCTCATAAAGTTTATTATTTTATGGAAATTTGTCATTCATCCTTTGAGTGTCCTTTAAGTGATATTTAATAATTTATACTGGGCGATAACGAAAGATAGCCTCATTTTTTGTACGAGCAAATCTATCAGGATTATGGTGAATCAAAATGACTAATTTTGGTTTATTGATATTTCAGATTTTTAATTAACTACACATACTTACATTAAAACAATCGGTTTTATTGTTAAATAAATTTATTGTTGGAAAATACAATTAAAGAATTATTGATTTAATTATACCAGTACATTATTAATTGTTACGGTTTTGTTAAGTTTCTAGTATTATCTACTAATATGATTTTAATATTATCCCCTATGTACTTTAAGATAACTCCCACATTGTTTAGTCATTTTCAAATGCTAGAGCAAATTGAAAATTGCAATTGAGTAATTTTTTTATATTTTTAGAAATATGCTAATACTGCGAGTTCATGGGGAAGATTTTGTATTTCCCACGCCATTACATCAAGTTGCTCCTAGAATACCTCAGATGAACATGATGAAAGTTCATATTCCTTTTACATTTAAATTACTGGAAACATCCACCTCATCTTATTCAGGTATGTAAATAGAAAATGTAATGGAAAATTAGGAATTTGACATTTCGAATTTGCACTCTTAAAATTCAGGAAGAAGAACAAATAAACTGTTTAAATTTCCATTTTAATTAATTAACGTAAATTAATGTATATAAGTCATATGCTATCAAAATTAATCAAACATAAAGTATGCTAAAAAATACATAGATTAGATAATCTGGTATCAGATAGAAAAAAAAATATGTTTGCTATAACGGAAATAGTTGGGTTTATTTAACATATTAGTTTCTACTTAACCCTCGAATAGTTGCGCGAAAATTTTTAACATGAGTAGTCGCGTCGGTCTCACAGACCGTAGGCCCCTAAATACATAGCGGAATGTACTTTTTAAAAAAATACATGTGGGGGTTGTTTAAATAACAATGACTAATAAAATGACTAAAAAAAGTCAAATGCAGTACTTATTGCTATTTTTCTAGCCTGATTTTTAGAATATTTGGTAAACAACGTTTGTAGTCGGTCTCACAGACCGCGGCGCGACTATTGGAGGGTTAAATAGTCAAAATTTTATAATCATTAAATGCTAAGTGAATAGACTCCTAAAATATTTACAAAGTGGCAAAGTAAATAATACTTAAGAAATGAAAAGGAGCAGAGGAGATGAATAACCTTCAGGATACATAATCTAATCCTTTTAAGTTTTTTTTTGCTTTGTTTCTTACTCAATCCTGGATGATGAAGGGATATTGAATATTGGATTAGATTTTATTATTATTTCCAATTCTATTAAAATCTGCATTCACTTTGTATCAGAATAATAAGGTTTCCAAAAGACCACAAAAATACATAAACACAATGTTACGTAAACACAATCGGTATATTAGAAAATTAAAGCCACGATGAATAAACAACAAACTAAAAATTTATAAAAAAATATTTTTAATTAGACATATAAATTTGATGTTTTTTGTCTGCAATTTTTAGCTTTTTCATATGTTTGTTTGTTCATTTGTTCACATGTCATAAGTCACAAACAGCCATAATTAAACAACATAGACTAAAAAATAACAAACCATTCTAAATAGGCATATTTCATATTTTTAAATTTATTTCTATTTTGCAGTTTTTTTTATATATTTTTTTAAGTGTTATTTACATTTTATGCATATTTTATAACGGCTTATTCACAGAAAAAAACTTGATTTCTTAAATGTTTTAAAGCAGAACTTGCAAAACTCCGTATTACCTAAAAGTTTAAATAAAATTGTCCGTTCTTCGGCATTAAATCGATTTCATATTGTAAATTCGCCAGATGAATGGCAGCCCGCGTATTTTGTTCTAAGGTGTCTGACTTATTACGAAATTTTCTTGCTGCCGAAGGAGGCCAAGGTTATTTTTATTCTGGTAAAGGTGCAATTATTTTAACGATTGTAAATGTTGCTGGCGTAAAATCGCTATATTTCGTCTATTTTCCGATTTCGTGAAATACCAAAATTAATACACGCAATCGACAATCGACACAACCTGTTTATTTCCCTTGAAATAAATAATAAATATGAAATCATTTTTATTATATTTATGACTAAGCATTTTCATCAATTTCCACAGTGGAATACTTTTTGCGCGCTTAAATAAAATTGTACACATCACAATTGAATGAAAATTGCTATATTAACCTTCGCTACAATAAATTAGTTTTCCTTTGCCAAGAGATCTGATCTACCACACCAAAATACTAATTACTAAATTTTTTTCATCAAATCAAAACGTAGCATCAAAAATGAATAATTAATGCGAATAAAATAATGGCAAAGCAGATATTTCCATAAATTTTGATCCAAAGTATCTACATTAATTTAATTCGTTGGATTATGAATCTGGGCTCAAGCATACTCCATTCTTGGTCCAGAGATCACCAATGAAATATTCTGCATTTATTATGTTGCAGTAAATATTTTTATCAGGGTCCTTTGGGCAGTATTAAACTATCATTGTGAGCATGTTCATGTAAATTGCCCCCTGTATACAAGTGGTGCAATTGAGATAAATTCGTGCTAGATAGAATACTTTCACCTATTCGTCTGATATTGCACTTCGTTACACAAGAGGTATTGCTACTAACTTAAAGCTGACCGCATTTTGTTCGGTGGAACTTCGCACAAAAAAAAAACTAGAAGCGACGCTCGTTGCACTCGACTTTGCTCGAGTTTTGAAACGGACGTTAATTTGCAATGTTTCGTATATTTTTTTAATATCGTTATTATTTATTAGTGGAACTCTCGGGCTCATTTACGATTGTTTTGTTGCAAAGAAGTTTTCTTTTTTTTGTAATAAGTTGAGGTGTGTAACAGCATAATTAAATTTTATATTAACTATAATTGTTGTTAACGAAATTACGGTGTTTAGTTGAATAATGGTTATTCATAGCGGGTAAATCCTCATTAATTTTCGGAAATCGGTGTTTTGTAAAAAACGTTTTGAATAATTGGTTTTAAGTAACAAATAATTGGGCGTTTATTTAGGAACTATTTATGCGGTGTAACAAATTGTCGAACAATTTTGTTATTACCCAAATTCGAATGAAAAATGTGGAAGTAAAAAAGCCTGTACCGGAAGGTGACTGTTTTAAATAATGAATTTATATTTCTCTTATGATTACCCATGCAACAACAAAATTTATTAAGGATTAATAATTGTGCATGTGCAATAGCCTATGCAGATAATTTCGAAACAATTTCTAGTCAAAACGAACATTTTCTTCGCAACAATCGCCAAATTATTGCTCAACATCAAAGTTGTTATACTTGAGTTGATTCAGATCCCTTCCAGATTACAACGATCAAAGTTCTATAATCTCCAATAACCTTGGTTAATTCGGCTCTGATGGAAATCTAATTGATTAAATTCGCCAGCGAGACGAAGCCGATTTTATTTGTCGAATTTTTACGGCGACTAATGTTTGAGCAAATATTTTTTTTGTGCTGTGAGAATTGAAAGGAAGGCAACAGCATAGGGAGCCTTCGATAATGTCATCAGTTCCGTTTTTATTTCAATCATTACATACTTAATTGATTGTAATATACGTACAGAGCACGTTCGTAAGATGGAACCGATCAATTTGTTATTCGCATTTGGGGCAAGGACCTGCGGTTTAATACGTTTCTTGTTTTGTGTGGTTTTTCTTAAATTTCGATGTTTATTTTAGCAATTTTCGCCCTTTTTCTGTTAATTTATACATTATATGTTGTAATTATATAATTCACTTCAAACCTGTTACAAAACCTATAATTTAGTCTAAAGGTGCCCACAGATATGTACATGTATGTACATATGTCATACATGCTTGCGCGTTCTTATTCGCCAGTGTGGCGAAAATACCGCAAGCATGTTCGACGCACAAGTTTTCAGATTTGGCCGAAAATCATGTATGCACAAGCTTGTATGTCATACAAGATTGTCGGTGTATGGCGAAATCTCAGTATTCGTTCGAATGCATTTTGAGTACAGCGTCTTGCGCCTTTTTAGTAAAACTCTGTTTTCTGCGATTTCATAATGGCGGATTTAAGATACTTTACAAATAACTTTCTAATTGATTTCAACGAACTTTATAAAAGTTATCCTTGTTTATGGAAAAACAAGAGTACCTACTGATTACAAAAATTGCAATAAATAAGATGCAGCGTACGCAGTATTATTAAAAAAATACAATAAATTGAACCACATGCAACAAAAAGCACTGTAAAAGCTAAAATAAATAGTATGTGAAGCAGTTTCCGAAGAGAAATGAAGAAAATAGAAAATTCACAACGGCTTTTTAACTAATCGATTTTGTTTCTTTTTTATTCAGGCAGCGTAAGCCACTGCTAATAATATTTAATCGTCTTCACTGCTCATCGTGTACTTCCAAACTAACTTGTTTGATAAAATAGTGTGTAGGTCTGTGGGTAAAACATGTTGTCATATGTACATGCACGTCAAGCATGTATGACATACATGTACCCTAGTCTGTGGGCACCTAAATTGTGCTCCACCTATTATTAGATTAAAGGTGATAAACAAGTTTTTTTATGTTCAAAACAGAGTCTTGGAATGTTTTTTAATCATAAAATTATACCGTTTGAATTTTAAATACATGTTTCGTATCATTGGATTTTTCAATAAAGAAACAAATTCAATAAAATTATGTCATATTATGTTGCGAAAGTCCATATTAGCACTTATAAATCCGAACCTTGGCAGTATTTAATTAAGGGCAAATGGAATTTTTGTAATTTTGAACGTGGTATATCACCAGTGAATCTGCCGAAGGTTAAAATCGTTGATCTTGGCGATTTTTTAACTTTCATATTTTAAATTAGTGTTGGTAGTGAATTAGTATTTATAGTATGGATATAGATTTTTTAGATAATTAATAGTATTTTATGTATCTAGAGAATGGTTAATAAAAATGAAAGAACTTCAAAAATGCTTCCTGATAACGATATAAAATATAGGGTAATCCATTTAAAACAACTGAGAAAATGTTACTTTTGAGTTTAGATCCACCCTGTAAGCAGTATGATTAAAATTGACGAAAAATATTCATTTTGTACATTTTCACGATATTTGCAATGTTGTGAAACCTGAATACCGTGAAACACTTAGTATAAAATGATACAATATTATATTTTTGGAAAGTTGAAAACGATCTAAATTCAATTTAAAAAAGTTTAAGTTTGGTCTACCACGAAAAAACAGGACACTCTGTATAAATGTAACTAATTTTAAAATATGCAGATTAGAAAGATCTACAACTTTTCTATTGAAGTTTTTTTGATATATTCTACAATAACAGATACATTGAGCTTTTCCATACCTACTAATGTGTTACGCTGTATGTTAAAATGATTCAAGAGAGAAGTAGAGTACCATTATTAAGCATATTATTCAGAATAAAAATTTTATAAATCAAGTTGTTTTCAAACAAAATTAGAACTTTTTTCCTTTCGCCAACTCAATCCAGGGACACACTATAACATTCGGATTATTTCAATAATATTTTTGCTTAAAAAAAACTAATTTTGAAGCCCAAATTTCGCTTATTTTAATGTTGTGAAATGTGTTCATGAAAATTTCGAAAAATACGGAAGTTAATAATACGAATTTGTCACATTCTAACTATAAACTATAACATGGCAAAGTTCGTTAGAATCGAATGCCAATTAAATTGTTTTAATTTCCTTTTTGTCGTTATTAAATTGTTACTATTTAAAGCTATTGCCTTCTGTTGTGTTTCCTCTTCCTACGCCGCTCAAATGGTGTTTTAAAATAACAACGCTTTGTTTTAAATTAATAGTTACTTACTAATAGTCGTGTTTGTTTCATTTATTGCGTATTATTACTGTTTATGTCACTAATTTTGTTTTAAATATGTTGTTTTAAATTAAATCGGTTTTGGGTAATTAATGCTGTCTGTATTTTGTTTCATTATCTATTTATTTTGTAAACTATACTAGTACAAATTGTGTTTACTTATTTTATACAAAAATTTGCAAATTAACTGTTTATGTAGTTTTAATAGCACTCTGAGTAACCCACATTTTATTTTTAAATTTTTATCTGTACTTTGTCTATTATTAATTTTATTATGCATAATTCATGACAAAGGTACTCATTTTTAGCAGTTAATAAATTTGTTGTTACTAATAATTAAATGTCTAGTAAACAATTTAATAAAATGCCTATCACCTTCGGATTTTTTTAGAATTGCAATGTTGCACTTCAAGTCAAGTAAAATATGGAATACAAGTTTATTGGGGGGTAAATATAAGGGAATTGCACATTTTTCTGTGGAGACCGTGGGTCGATCTGAGGGACGCTTGTCTTCGGGGCGATTTTTTGCAGGGATTCTACCAATATTTGGGCCCTCAGTTGGTGTAAGTTAAAGACCATAAAAATACCGTAGAGTTTTTAGCAAATTTTGTTGCAGGAAAAAGTCGCACTCCGATGAAAATTTGGTTTTAAAATTAGAAAATAAATTAGAACTGGGCTCACCGCCTAGATTGTGCTATCCTCTGGTCGTTATTTTATATCGAAACGACGTCAACGAAAGCATTCATCCTGACGAAACTGTAAGCGAATTTCCATCATTTTTCTATCATTTATTTACACATAAATTGGAAAAGGCGTTTTAACATTCTTTTTTTTTAGGTGGCGCTAATTAACGTTATACATATTAAAGACTCTGTGTGTACCTTACCTACCAGCATATTAGCGCAGTATTTGAAGCAGGCCAACGGGCAGTTATCCTGCTTAAAAGTAAGTAGTATATCAGTGCCTAAAACCGTTAATTTCTCCTGCTATATTAGCGAATTGTTGAGCCGAATGCATTATTATACCATTGATGGTGAACGTAAATTAACATATCTCTGAACAAACAAAAAGTTCATTACCATAAATTTAGTCGTTTAATTTTTTAAATATTCTACGAACGAGAATAAATTAATTTTATGTAGTTTCTTGACTCATGGTTGAAAATATCAATTTTTGTTATATTTTTATATTGTGCTTATTTTCTCCAACGCTCTTTGTTTTACAATGTAAACATCCCAGGAAATAACGAGCGACTAAAAATCATTGAGATTTTTTTTAGAAGTTGGCAATAGGTCAATGATTTTTATTATTGTTAAATCTGTTCAAATCGCAACAAAATTCAATTTGCAACCCTCTGAGGAACTGGCTAACTTCATAAAGAGATATAAATGAAACTTTAATTTTAAAGGATCCTTTAATAGAAGTAATTGGTTTCATAATTAACTTAATAAATACTTTAAGCCTAAAGGGTAATTAAAGTTAAAGTGAGGTTAAATATATCTTTAAAGCAACCTTTTCCTAAAGGAACATTTTACATCTTTGGTGCAAACAAATCTGCTCTAAGTAATATTTTATGGATGATAAAATTGGGTGCAAATCTGAATTCGGTGCAAATAATTTCCATAATTCCAGCAATTGTACCTTGCGACCGGTAACTCCGGCGGTTACGAGGAAGGGCAAATACCACTGGCTGTGGCCGAGCCGGTCGAAGGAGGTCCGGAGCCCATGGGCAGGCACCTGGTGTGCCGGACCAGCGAGGATTCCACGTTGTGGAACAGCTCGGGAGAGCAACTGTGCGTCGTTTGTCAATATTTCCCGTTGTCCAGGGCGCTGTTACCGTGCAGGTAAGCGATATACATAAACGTTGGTTCGTTGTTTATTACACTAGTTTGCAAATTTTACACTTCTTTTAGTGCGTGACATAAAATCAACTTTTTTTAATATACTTCCGCGAGCTTATTCCAAATATGGTGTCAATAGAATGAGCACGTCTAGTTTTTATAATTTGTCTAATATGGTCATCATTTCAGAGCGTCTTAAATGTTTCTAATGGAGTGTTTCAAATGGTTCTAGACAGTTCTAAAAGATTATGTAGCGTTCTAAAGGGTTCTAGATTATTCTAAATGGTTCTAGACAGTTATAAATGATTATGGAGCGTTCTAAATGGTTGTAGACAGTTCTAATTCATTCTGTAGCCTTCTAAATGGTTCTGCACAGTTCTAAACGTTTCTAGACAATCTAGAGTGTTGTAAACGTTTCTGGAGCGTTCTAAATGGTTCTAGACTGTTCTAAATGGTGTGCTAGGAGACTATTATCTCGCGAAACTGATCCTAAATCATACAAAAAAGCAATAATTTAATGCTCAGCGTTTCCATATTTGTAGTTTCTTTTCATTCATTGCAAAGATATTAAATTCTAGTAAAACAAATGAATTTTTTAGTTTATTTCGGTTGTGTGACGTGCTAGATTTTTTATTACTACACATTTTTAGTTTTAGTATCCTAATTTCTTTGCACGAAACCTTGTAAACTTGTGTTAATTCGAGTGTTTTTCTAGGCACACGTGCATTTGCGCCAGTTGCTTTGACAAGCTGGACCGGTGTCCGATGTGTCGAGGGCCGATAAAGAGCTATTTCTGCATTCGGGGAGAGGAATATATGCCGATTTCGGCGAATAACAAAACCCAGGATCCCCATCACGGGCCTTTGTACAATTGGTTGCACCATTGGGACGATCGCTTGACGGATTTCCTCGGGTTTCAGCGATAACCAAGACTCGATGAGATTACGAGGAAAAGGAATGATCTATAGCAAAAACTAAGGTGACGAAAATTCGGATATTTTTTATCTCGTTATCGAAAATGTTGGGTAAATTATCGTTTCAAATTGTAAACTTGAAAAAGCAGTTCAGGTAGAAACGAAACATTCGAAAAGGTGCATCAGTTTGTTAAAATTAATGAAGATGGCAATAAAACTTCGACTCGATTGATTTCACATGATTTTTGACGCTGTTATAGGACTTTGACCGATTATCCTTAAAATTCGTCCAGTGTTTTGTGATTATTTATTAACAAGTCCAGTATGATTTCGTGTAAAAGATAAATCTACAAGAGGTAACCGTTTTTATGTTTCCTAATTTTGTAATTTTTCTAAATATACGATTTGATACAAGAGGTTAATAAATGGCTGGAATTGCTCAAGAAAACGATTAGATACTAATTGTCAAAGTCTTATTTTAATATTTCATACACCTTATTTAATTGAGAAAATTATTTTTTTTGTATATTAAAAATGACTGATATATTTTTGCATATTGATGAAGGCGATTGATTTGATAGTTTGCCATAAATTTAGAGGTAATTTTCTTTAAGTAGGTAGTTATAAAAATGTTCTACGGTCGTTTTTTATGTAACAAGTAGCTGCAGATTTAACAATTAAGTACGTTTATGTATTAATTTAGGTACTCTTTGTGTTTAATGAAATTCATCGCATATTTTTCAATTCATTTAGTCATATTTCACTATAACTTGCTTCTTACTCGCTCATTTTAGAGGTAAAAGAAAGAAAATTTCGGATTGTTTGCATAACACTAACATAATTTATTATTGTATAATAAGTTTTACATGTATCTGCCGTCCTTTTAGTTCAATAATTTCGAATTGATATTATTTATTTCCGTCGTATTGTCACTTGTAGTTTAGAAGTAGTTCTTCGTGATTTCCATTGTATAAATTTAATAGGTATATTTACTATTTTAATATTTATATGACTAGCCTGTGATAATAAATTCAATTTATTTATAATATATTATAATTTATTGAAAATAGTTTTTAAACTTTTATCCTTACGAATAAACATGCTGTACACGTACAAAATTGCGCAAAAGTGCGATTTTTTTATGTACAAAACAACATTAAACCGGCTGAATGTAATGTTACGAAAACCAATCGGTGGCAAGGCCTCCGAAAATCGATGCGGCACTGTGCTTCATAATATTAGAAGAATCCGGCGTTTTCTTCGGAGTGGATTTAGACTTAACTGAAGAATCCTGAAAGAAAATTGTACTTAGCAAAGGCTTATTAATAATAAAAAAAATGTTAAGGTAAAACCGCTTCGTGTGACTCAATCCATAGTGCTCCAAATACACATTTTAATACATATTGTAAAGTATTTACATAGCACAAAAATACATAACTGTATTGTAGTTGAGACTGTTAAAATTTTACCGTTGCAGATAAAATAAATTATGTAATGTTAATACCACAGAAAACACACGTTAATTCGTAAAAGCCTTACATGTTTTACCTTAAAGCGAGTAAATATCCGCAATATTCTGAAAAACAGTTCATAAATTTTATATTTGCATACTAGGTTAAATTATACATTCAAATATTTTAAGGGCGCCACTTCAGGGTATTCTTAAGGCTAGAGTTCAGTACTCGCAAAATATTTTTTCGGGAATAGGCAACTTGTACAGCAAGACCTGTCACTTTATTTCGGCAAATTTTCAGGTAGTAAGCTCACAGCGGGGTATGTCGTAAAACTGAGATTAGAGGATTGGGGTACTTAAAATTAGCATTTTAGAATTTTAGAATATCGTAGGAATATCGATGTTGTAGGAAAATATATTTTTGAATATTTAGAAATGCCGATGTCTTTCAGAAACTTTTTTATTTTAAATAAAGTACCACATATATTTTTATATATTTAGAATCATCAAGATAAGCTGATTTTAACGATATGTCACACTTGATATTTAGTTTCGGTAATAAAGGATCCACGACCACTTGAAAAAAATTTTTACAGGGCAGTCTAGTGTCAAAAAACACGATTTTAAATTGTAGATCCTATGATGATAAATAGCAAGTGTCACATATTGAAATCAGGTCTTCATGAAGACTAAAAATCATACGAGTTGTTTTCGGAAATAATAATAATAATCTCTATTGCAACAGTAAATTTGCTATTATTATTTCAATATTAGTATCAAAGAAATAAACACTTTTGTTTAGATCCGTGTACCTGAACAGCTTAGAGGTACACCATCGGTCCACCCTTCATGATAAGTAGATTTAATTTCTTCATAAGTTAATTGCTGGTCTAATGGATTACAGTTGCATTATCGTTAGGAATATTTAAACTCAATATTTTCTTTAGAAATCTCTAAAAACCTTTTGAAATACTAGGAAAGTTTTAATCTAGTTCAAATCTAATTTCAAGTGAACTATTAATTTATCATAAATAAATTCCCCAAGGGGAGTCGGAAATTGTATCTATAACAAAATCGAAGAGAACCAATAAAAACACAGTTTGATTAGGTTTTTACCCCTTCCATTTTGATCGACAGTTTTTCGATTGATCCAGATCCAGAATTTTGAATTTTGACCATTTAGTGTTGTGACTTCGTTGCACCTATATCCGCAAATATTCAATTTGTCCTATTTTCAAATTTACTCGTGTTTAGTGAGCATACTGTGATATTGAATTGGTAAGTTTGTTGTATTTGTTATTTAACAAAGATACTTTTATATTACGTTTATAATTTATAACCATATATACAATTTAGATTTTAGTTCTTATTTACCATTATTATTACTTAAAATTTTATTTTTTTGATCATTTTCGCATATAATCGATTTCATTTAGTCTCGAACATTTTTAAAATGGTTATAAGGTCAGGAAACCATTATTCTTCTTGTCATAAGAGGAAAAGCCGAAAACAAATTTGCAAAAGCATGAAAAAGGCTGTTAAAACTAGTGATAATACCCAAGCTAGTTGTTCAAGTACCGTTCCCGCAGCAAACTACTCATTAGATAAATCTTCGTCCACCGACGATTCGATTGAAATACAGAACAATTCATTTACGAATGCAAGCATTCAGGCTAGCGTTCCAATAAATGGTTTACGAATAGTAGATTTTGATTACGTATTTTCGGCAATAAAAAACATTGAACACAATGGTTTATTTCGTTGCGATATATCTAATGTAAGTTTAATTGATGAAAAGCGCTTTGGAGTAAAAAGTACAATTACTTGTAAATGTAATATATGCGGTGTTACAAAAACATTTAATACGACTAACGATGAAAAAGAGCTTGACATAAATAAAGCTTTGGTGTGCGGTGCAATAGCAGCGGGCGTAGGATATAAACAGTTATCAACGGTCTTAGGAAGTGCAAATCTAACTACAATGTCTCCTAACACATATTTGTCACATCAAAATGTTGTTATAAAAAACACCAAAGACATAGCAATAGAAGAGATGATTTTGGCGGGTAAGGAAGAATATGAATTAGCGGTCGAAGCTGGTGATGTAATTGACGGGGTACCAGTAATAGCAGTAGTAGTTGACGGCGCTTGGAGCAAAAGGTCTTATAAAAGTAATTATAACGCATTGTCGGGCATAGCATGCATTATAGGTGCTAGGACGCAAAAAATTTTATACGTTGGTGTAAAAAATAAATTTTGTTTGCAATGCAAAATGCATAAATCTTTGAAAAAAGCTAAGAAACATGATTGCTTCAAAAATTGGAACGGAACCTCAACGTCCATGGAAAGTAAGATAATCTTAGAAGGATTCGAAGCTTCCATGAACATGCACAAGTTAAAATACGGTAAAATTATAGGCGATGGAGACAGTAGTGTTTACAGGAAAATTCGTGATGCTAAACCCTATGGTCCAAATTTCTTTATAGAAAAAATTGAGTGTCGCAATCACGTATTGCGTAATTATTGTAATAAGTTGAGAGAATTATCGAAAACCCCTAAGGAAAACGTAATTTTGAAAAAGTTTTTAGCTAATAATATAAAGAAATTTAGAACAGCGGTAACTAGTGCTATCAAATATCGAAAGAATGAGGCGGTGCCATTACAAAATAAAATCGAAAATTTAAGGAATGACATCATAAACGGGCCGCGACACATAATCGGTGATCACTCAAAATGTGATAAATATTTTTGTGATAAAGTTGGTCAGGTAAATCCCGTTTTATTAAACGATTTTATGAACAGCTCCTTATATGATCTTTTTAAAAAATATTTAAGTCGGGTAGCAGGTTTGTCGTCTAGTTTATTGTGCGATGTTGACAACAATGCAGCTGAAACGTTCAATTCAATTGTAAACAAATTTGTCGGTGGCAAACGAATTAATTATTCTTTTAAAGGATCTTATGAAGGGAGGTGTTATGCGGCAGTAATTGATTACAACAAACGAAGTACATTTTTAATAGAAATTATTAAAAAATGTAATGACGGTAAAGTTGGCGATCTAACGAAAGCATTGGAGGAAAAACGTTTAAAAATGAAACGCGCAGTGAAACCCAAACAAGCAAAAAAACATGTTTATCACACAGAAGATTCGGATTATGGCGGCAACGAATTAGATGATGTCAATGTAGCGGAGGATTTGTATGACATGCCAGATAGTGAATTTCATAATGCTAAAAAGGAATTTTTAGACAATTTCAACAATTGTGACATTGATGAAATTTTACAAAATACCTTTGGTCAACATACAAATCCACAATGGTTTAAAGAAAAATCTGTTCGATTAACAGCTAGTAATTTTGGTAAAATTTGTAATATGAGGTCAACAACAAATACTGGTAACACGGTGAAAACTATTTTATATTCTTCATGTAGCGGTCAAGTAGGTAATTACCCCAAACCATTGCAACACGGTATCGAAAATGAATCTAAGGCGATAGAAAAGTTTGAAAGCTTACATAATATAAAGGTAATGAAATGCGGATTGTTTGTCGATGAAGAAAAGAGGTTTTTGGCAGCTTCCCCAGATGGGCTAATAGGAAATAATGCAATTATTGAGGTAAAGTGTCCTTATTCGGCGCGAGAATACACGGTTGAGGAAGCCGTAGAAAATAATATAATAAAATATCTAACAAAAAGTAATTCTGGGGAAATTAAATTAAGATCAAATCATAATTACATGTTCCAAATTCAAGGCCAACTTCATATAAGTAAACGCCAAACATGTTATTTTATTGTTTACACAAATAAAAATTTATTCTGTGAAATAATAGAAAAAGATGATAACTTTTGGAACATGAAAATGATTGGCGCTTTGGAAAAATTTTATTTTAATGCTCTTTTGCCAGAAATTTTAGATCCCAGATTTAAACGAAACCGATCCATTAGAAATAAGTTGGTAAAAGATTTGTAGATTAATTCCACTAATCCACAATTACTCGTTTATCTAGCTTTTTTTTGTTTGGTTTTTACATTGATTGTAGTAATAATATGTAAACGGTATGTATAATTATGCTGTACTATATTGTACTATATACTATATACTATACACTATATTTATATAATGATATAATATGTACTATTTGTACTGTATATGTACCTGCATACTTCCATATATGTCTAAACATAATGCTACTACATACGTGTACAACCTAATGGATGGTTTGAGTTTGCTTTCATTATTCTTTTCATAAAATGTAAAAATAAAAAAATGTAAAAACATAAAATCCAAAAAAAAACAAAAAAAAAACAAAAACAAAAAAAAATGTAGTTTTATAGTGCTTTTGGCTTATTACAGCCTACTGTGGATTAGGTCTACTGGAGATACCACATTAAAAAAACGCGTTTATTATACTCTACCTCTTGGGTAACGTGGAAAAGAGTTATAGGTAACTAAACTAAAGACATCATATGAATACAGGCAACATAGTAATTGCGGGTATTTATGTCAAAAAATAATTCAACAACGTAACGAATACTTTTGTGGTTGCTTTCAATATTTTTTTCATACCAAATTTTTAATACAAAATTTAATTTAACAAATAAAAATTAATTAATATAAGTGAAATTGTAATATACATATCTTTAACAAGTAGCTACACTGATGGAATGAATAATTGCAAGTTTAAAATTCAGTATTTAAATAGGTAATCGGATTATCGGATTTGGGTCGTAAAATTGAAGACTCGACCTACCCCTCATAAATCAAACGGGAATTGCCTGATGGGTTGCCTAAAACTGATTTTTATTTCGTCGGAAACACTAAATTTGTGAACAAATAAAGCCCAATTAACAACAAATGCGAAAGAAAATCAAAAAAAGGGCTTCGTACCGCCATCGGGGATGGTTAGCTCTTTCTTTTGGTATAAAAATTTCACAGAAAAAGTAAAAAATGTAGCCTGAAAATGGAATATAAAATTTCAACATTTTAATTAATTAAGCCAAAACAAAAGCATTTTTTAAAAAAAGGGCTTCGTACCGCCATCAGAATAAACGGGTAGATCATATATAGAGTGCGACCCCCCTTTCAAATTTCAAAATGCGCCCTGAAAACGTCACGGAAATTTCAGCATTTTTACACACGTTTTCAAAGTACTGAACTCTAGCCTTAAATGGGAAAAGTAGGTTCAGTAAATCTAGTAAGATTCAAATCTGGAATCTTCAATTGATTTGAATCTTTTTTATACCTAATATAGAGACTCCAAGCAATGATATCTTCTATTTTTAATCTCGCCTAGTTCATTATATGTTTAAGAAAATTGAAATCAAAAGTGCCATTTATTTGTGCCAAATAAAAAATAAAAGTGCTATATAAAACTAATTAAAGAATTTTAGCAAATGATTTATGACAGATTACTATAAAATTATGGTGTCGCCTGGCATAAATGTCAAATCACAGAACAATTATGGAAATTTGACTAGCTACAGCGTTGCTAGTGGTCTCCGGTTTTCAGATACTTCTTAAATAATAATAATTATTTCTAGGTTCTTAAAATTATTATTCTCATCCCATCTAGAGTGGAAAAATTTTACCAAAATTGTAAACATTTAGGAATAGTTGTATATTACCCCCACGAATTATGAATTTGAGTATAATTGACCTACTGGGTAAATAACTTTAGGACTTTACCGTGAGTATTTTAACATTAAAAACTGAATAATGATAAAGATTTAAATACCTTTGCTTTCGTAGAAGAACCGGGTGCTCTCTGTGAAGGTGCCGAAACAGGTAACAAGGGAAACCACGAAGCCAATGAAGGCGTACTCAAGGCTAATATATTGGGATTCTGGTCTTGCTCTTTAACCTTTTCACTAACTCCTAAATTAGCTAGCTGATTTGAAGACGGCAACAAGCATCCCAAAATAACCTACAATAGAAAGAAACTACTAAGTTACCAAATCTATAAAACCATTTTAAACACTCACCTGAGATTGTGCTACTGCTCTCTTAACGTTATTTTGTAGGTACGAATAAAATACGTCCAAATCAAACGGGTCAATTTTACTCCTAAATTTATCACAGATCTCTTGGGAATAGGCGATGAGTTGAACGTTTTCTCTAGGAATGCACAGCGTCGTCAAGTACTTGATATCGAACAGAAACTGCAAAGCTTGCTTTTGGTTCAGCTGCTTTTCGGACAAGCTCTTGTAGCGATCGAAAATGACGGCGGAATTTTTTTCAATGAATTTCAAATGGATGGTCTTCGGAATGGAATGCGGAATCTTCAGGCCGATGGAAGCGTTCAGCTTATCCACTATTTCGTTTAGCATTAAACTAGGCTTTAATGGCACTTGTATTTGCGATTTGAACACTTTTTCTTCGGTATGTTCTTGGATCTCGATTTCGTCCCACTTCTGAAATTGTACAAAAATTTAATTTCCTTCAATTTGTTTTGTGCGTAACTTACAGCAAACGTTTTTAGTATCTTTTTAACCGAAACGTCGTCTAATTCCTGACAATTTTTTTCGGTATCTTTTACTACATCATCGATCCAATGCATCCATAACGTTTGACTGGTAATATTAAATGTATCACAGATTTTCAACCATTCGTCGGCGTTATTGAACGTGCAGCACTTGTGGAAATGGGGGCATAATTGGGTTATAGCCTGCAGGAACCTTGCTAATATAACGCATTTGGTTACAAAGTAATCCGAATCTTCCGACAGAAGATCTTTCGAGAAATCCGACAAACTAAAAAATATATTAGTTTCATTAATAAGTAGAGATTAGTAGAGATTTGTTTACCCTTTGCACGTTTTGCTGCATTCTAATTGAAGGTGCTTTTCTACATCAGTCTTGTCCATGAATTTCCTTTTAAATTTGAAATCCTTTAGTACCATCGCGTAATTCAAATTGATATTGAAGTCCTTTCCGTATAAATACTGGGACGCATCTTGGAGGAGTTCTAAATATTTTTTGTCGAATTTATCGCACAACTCCACTATGTTCTTTGAATACCCCTTCGTTTTCATAGAAAGTCCTGTAATATAATCACAACTTACTGTAATTCTAGAATTATTTATATTTTTTTATAAGTATTTACCTAAATGTGAATTTTCGAATTTACTAACATCTTCTATTTCTTCGTTCCAAACATACCAGCGCAGGTCTGCTTCGGAGTTATCAGATTTACAAGCACTTTCAAGAACTGATTCAACGTCGCTTTGAGTTTCTAGTATGATTGAAGACATTTTCTTCGTTATTAAACTCTGGCATCTGAGAGTAATCAGATTTTGGAAGAAGTAATACCAAATGTTGAAATTATCCGGCAACTGCGACTCTTTGCATATTTGATCCCAATTATCCGGAGGCTCTAAAATGGTAAATTAACGGTAATTAGAATTAAAATACATGAACATTTGTTGTATTATTACCGATTTTTAATGATTCTTCCCTCGTCAGGTGTAAACCTTTTATGTTCGGAATTAGATCGAGGGATTTTTCCAATCCTTCCTTTACTGTTTTTCTTGTGGACTCTAACCATTCTTTAAGTATATTATCTACTTCTTTGGTAGGTGTTTCGGTTTGGTAAATAGATTTACATGTAGGCCTAAAACATTTATATTTACAAACGTCTTTAAACCAATTTTTTAACTTACCTAAATTGCTTAATAATTTCAGGTAAATACGACATCAACGGGGTAACAGGTAAATCTAATTTACTTATTGTAAAAGGGGCTGTGTTTCCTATGATGCCTTGTAGTTGTTGCCAAATTAATCCCCTGTATCCATTTTGATCGCCTATATTAAATAGTAAGATGTAAAGTATACTATTCTAGTTAATATAATTAGATTACTTACTAATGAAACAATCGTATAAGAGCCGAACAGTGGTTAGAAGACACTTAACCATAGAGCAAATTTGAGCTCGTACACTCGAATAGGGTGAATTGATGACAGTATTTAGAGCTGTTTTACGGTGTTCGATAAAAATGCTTATTAAATCTTTGCTACCTTGATTTTCCAGCAAAAATAAGGCATTTAAATTTTGACTCGTTTCCTAAAAATAATCTTAGTTTCTTTAAAATTCAATGCATAGTATTCACTTACTTTTGTGGACGTTTCTACCGATTCTAATTTATCGGTAATTTTTTCAAGTATTTTTGATTTCAACAGTAATAAATTTGATTTTATATGTTGAAGAAGAGGTACTTTATTGATGTATTCCTTCTTGGAGAGACTTAGACCTAAATGTTATAAAAATAATTAGAATATTTTAGTGCTTTATATCCCAAATGAATAATTGTTATTAATTCTAATGCATATTACCTGTTTGTATGTGCTGGGCTAATAAGAAATATTGCGCTGCATCTAAATTATTTTCCTCATCGAGGGCTACCCAAATTTGTTCGTTCATGAAAATGGCTAGTCGTATTTGACTTATAATAATCCTTTCTTCAATTTTTTTACTACAATATACGAGTTTAGTCTAATAGCAATATTAATATTTACCATTTTATCTACCTATCTACTGGAATACTCGATTTTTTGTCCAAATTGGATATATTTTGGGTAAGATCTTGGCATTTAGTAGTAATATTGTCGATGCTGTCCACAATTTCTTGGGATATAGTTTTCATCGACTTGATAGAATCAGAAGCTGCTAGTACATCCTTATAACGATCTCTGTAATTTAATTCGGAATTATTGCAATTGCATTCGTGCTGGCAGTAATAAAATTGCAAAATAAACTCACCCGACCATCGACCTCAATTCTTTACGTTTTCTTTCAATTTCCGTGTCCAGAAGTTTTTCGATTTCGATTATTTCGTCAACGTTGTGTTCTTCGAATAGCTTCTCCACATCTAAATCCAGCAAATTATTCTGACTTTTTGCCATTTTTTTGATTAATTTTTGGATGTTAACCTAAATGTCCAACTCGAATTTGAAACGTCAACAAAACAACCCGAAAAAGTATTTTTTCTGCTTCTTTCATCAGAAAAAGTGGTCTTTTACTTAACACAACGTAAGACACTTCATGTAGTTAGACTATTGGCCTTTTTCTAGAACAGTTTTTAGTAGATTTAATGTCCTTATTTGACATCAGACAAAAGGGGAAGAGCCAATAAATAAAAAAGAAGAAAAATTTTAAAATTCCCTTTTTGTAATTTGTTAATTTTTTAAATTATGATTTTTTATTTCTGTTAATATTAAGGAGATATACGGATAAGTGTAAATTTGTTTGCAATATGGTCAATTCTATGAGATGAACAAAGAAAGATAGCAGTTGTTAGAGTGAAAAATTGTGATGACACAATATATCACTCTTTCTTTTTCCTTTATAAGTGTCTAATGAAAGTTGTCTTTGTTGCACCCATAGCCTATGTTATGAACAATGAATATGAACAATGGAACAATCTGTATGTACTACTACTAAGTAGAAATAGTACAAAGTTATGAAGGAAAAAGAAAGAGTGATATTGTGTCATTGCAACTTTTCACTTTGGCTTAACTGTTATTATAATAGTCTTTCTATGTTCAACTCATAGAAAACACCATATTGCAAACTGAAATGACCAATGTGTATGTTAATCTATATTGCAAAATAACATGAATCAACCTGTATAAGACAGATTGAAGTTATTTTTGTTGCACCTACAGTTCTATTAGTTCTATATTGCAAACAATTTTGCATCTACCTGTATATTAGACTTCATACGATCATACTATAATAATAATACTTACCTATAATTCAAATAGGTCAAATAATTCAAATATAAGATCAAATATGGCCGCCCTATTCCAGTACTAACTATTGATCCGACTTTGATCCGAGATCAGTTGATCCGACTTTGATCCACGTATGAGCTACAGAGACTTTAAGTACCTCCCTTTTGTGATTACTAAAATAAGTACCTAATTAACACATCATAAGAATAAGGTAGGTCTTTAAAAAGAACATCTTGCCTACTTCTCCTGGTTACCCATGCAGGTCTCTTTGGCTGGATCCCTCCCTCACTGCGAAATAAATTAATTTATACGCGGATGTATCTGTCGTTGATAGATGGGCAAAAGGAGAAGTATCCAATATAAGTTTAAAGGCACAGGTTCGGCGGAATTGTCATGTGTGCTGCGCAAACGGCGCTAGCGGAGCTCCCGGGCGGCGTCCCAACAACTTTAATCGCTCCATTACACTCGGTAATGACGTAGACTGTTCGTCTCGCCAGTTCGACAAATCTATTCGGATTTTAATTTTCGTTCCTCGCTCGTGTTTAATGGGTAACTATTCCTCATTTGGCAGGAAATGGAGTAGTTTATTGAAGCAATTTAGATAATTAATTTTGGTGGAAAATATTCATAAAAATTCCTTTCTAGTTACATTTTAAGGTACAATATTACCTATACATCTGCAGAGTTGTATTCAATGGTCTATGCAGGGTGCTACAAAGACAACTTCTACATATTAGTCTCACTTTTAAAGAGTGATATTGCGGAATTGCAAATTCCTTACTCTAACCACTGCTATTTTAATAATCTTTCTTTGCTCAGCTCATATAGAATTGACCATATTGGAAACACATTTGCACTTCCCATATATCTGCTATATTTTTATAAGGTTACTTGACTTTTCTGGTACACTTTGTTGGAGGTAAAGGTCATAAAACTCGACTAAGGACACTAAAGTCACTCAGGAGCTGGGTTGTACCCTCAGGTGGATTTTAAATGCTATATTCTGAGACATGGAGTCCTCCTAAATCTACGACTACTTCATTGCAACATTAACCTCTTGAGCAATATGAAGAAGTGCTAGATATAGGAGGAGTTGTTCCATATTTTTAGAACTTCCCGACCTGTACCAGACGATCCTCCTCAGAATAAATCAGACCCCTACGATATCCTAAAGGTATTGAATTTTTTTCCCAAAAAGTTTCGTTTTTGAGTATAGTCTCATTCAAGGGTCTGGTTCGATTCCTTGGAGTTGAGAGGATGATGGCTACATGATGGTTACCAAGACAAGTCATGAGGCTATGTTTGCTGAAAATTCCAAGTATCTAGCTTTACAGTAGGAAATTTTATAGGGTTTCAAAAAAGTGAGTTGCTAGATGAATATTATTTAAGACTGCAAACTTCTCGGTTAAAAATGAAACAATACTTAATTAATTTCTAATTAACTTTATTTCTCTATATGAAATATTCAATTTTAATACATAACAGCGTCCCCAACGTATATTGAAGTTTCTATTAAGTGTTAAATAAAAATACTTTTCCAATCGTTTAGCTGGACTCTGGACTGGACGGCCCGCCGAAGTCGCTCGAATTGTACAAAATGAGATAGATATTTTCCTAAAAGACTAGTTATCGATACAATCGTCAGCCCTCCAACACATCAGTCGCTTTGTCACGGTTTTAAAAAATATACCACACTCGTTTTATTAAAAAAAAAGAACTAATTAGATCTACAATATTTACATTAAGTTTGATTTAAAGCTTCAGAAGCATTTCTTATGTGAACACCATTTAAATAATAAATAATCCAGTTTCAACAATTCTTTTAGAGAATATATGTAGTCCGTCGCTCCAGTTTAATATTTTAGAAAAAAGAAATAATTTAGTGTTTACTATTCATAAAAATAGATCAATTTCGAACAAGTCTCTAAACTATATTTAACTGGAACAAAAATCTCCTTATTGCATGTCCGTGAGTAAATCACCATACCATCAACATCAACAAAAACTATGCAAGTGAATTTAGGCATACCGCCTATTTCATAAATGTGTATTCGTTAAGGGATGCGCGCCCATTCCCCCATTGACCATATGCATGGCCGCCGCGGTATTCCCCGACTGAAAGTACATGTAATAATTCTGCGAGGAATAATCGACGCCGGGCGGCGACGGCCCGGACATGAGATGCGGCGCCGGGGGGTTCCCGTGCGAGCCCCTGAAAGCCGCGGCGTGGACGCCCGCCAAGATGTCCGTCACGGAATGGGAGCTGGGCCAGCAATGGGTGGTTCCGTGCCGTTGGGACGACGGTGGCGACAGCCTCTGCTGCGGGTACGAGTACGACGGGTAAATGGCGTTGTAGAGGTGATGGGCGTGCGGCTGGGAATGCACCAGCGTTCCTATTTTGTTCCTAAGTATTCTGCTGATCGAGCTCACCGATGGGACGTTGTACTTGTCGCAGACGCCGTCCGATAGCAGCCGGTCTCGGATTTCCCAGGCGAAAATTCCCGGGTCTTTTTGTTTTAATTCTTTGATATACGCTACTACCTATAACAATGGGTTTTTTAATTAGTCTAAAATATGTATGTGCTTTCTGACAAGAAAGTACTCGGAAATTCTGAATTAAATTCAGCAGCTGATTGAATCAGTTCATCTCATCAGTTATTCCAATGGACAAAAATAATGAACAAAGAATTTGTGTTATAATTTGGGTTTTGAAGAGAATTTCCTGGATCTATTCGATGCAAATGCTTAAGGTGACTCTGTTTTATCGAAAACCCACATTTACAAAAGGTACATAACTTTTAAAGGCAGTCGGAAGATCGCTAAAGACTTGCCTTGTTCCGGACGGTCTTCAACCAATAATAACGGCGAGTAAATGAAGGAAATTGAGTTCGAAAATCACCTACTAGCATGGTGATTTTAGAGAAGTAGCATATGACCTCAACATCTCCCGTTAAACCGCTCATTTGATTTTGCTCAACCGATCAGGCATGCTGCGAATTGAGGCTCGGCTTGTTCCGATAGAGCTGAGTTTTCTTCAAAAACGATATCAACCATTCGCAAGGAGAAAATTCGCAGAAGGAGGTAAATGCTTTATCAGAAAGCGCCCATAAAAATACCTCGATGATTATGGAAAAAGACGTCTGACCACGCGTGTATCACTTCAGAAGGAGCATTTTATACTCCGGGTACTTTTTTGTCACAGGATTTCGACTTTTTCTGGAATAAAGTTACTTACTTTCGGTGTGGTGACCCGAGGTTTCGATCCGCCTATAGCGCCCGGTAAAATCGAACCGGTTTCGTGGTACCTTGCCAAAATTTTCGAGACACAGCCATGCGACACTCTCAATTGCCTGGATATGTCGCAAGGCCTTATGCCGACTTGGGAAAGTTCTACTATTTTTAATCGCACGGCGTTCGGCAAGGGCCTGCCGTTTACGAAAATTCCTCCTAATTGGTTCACTTCACCGTATTGCTGGACTTGGTTTTCTGGAAACAAAAATCAGAAAAATACTAAAATCTTACCTAAATTAAATTTATAAAATAATTAATAAACAATAAGATTAAATTGAAACGACAATGGTAATGTATTATTTGCTATCAAGTAGATAGATACATATTGCCCGGAGACCATTAAAAAATATAAAATACAACCACGAACGTTAAACATAAATTAAATCCGCTATTCTGCAGATCAAAGGTGGATGGTAGCGTTTATTTCGCTGTAGACATGTTGTTCGTTGTCCCGGCGCTGTCAACACGTGTTAGATCATGCATCAAGCCGCTCTGGATGCGGGAAAGTAGTCGACTTTAGAAACCGAATAGATTTGTAAAGAAAATTTATGGTCCAGTAAAACCTTTAATTTTGGATAATTAGTTTACATCGTTATGTGTCGCTTTCGACTAAAACATTTATAAATCGTTCCAGACGGTGTACCGCTCTTTTTTTATTTTTTGCCGAATTTATTTTCGGATTTATGGAAAGGAAATTGTTGATTAAAGCCAAGGTAATTTATTTTATTTTTAAACATATTTAAACTAATAGCAATTGCACAATATAGTTTGCGTTTGTATAATCGAACTTGCCTAAGACATCTTAATAAAGAAGAAAAGCAAAATATGAAAAACTAATTTGGTATCTAATAAATCAATTATATCGATTTTTGTCTTGATCGTTATTTTTTTGTAGGCCCATTAGCCAGTCTAGCTTATAAGGTGCAAAAAATTAAGAGCCACACACATGTGTTGTTCATTAAAGGATTTCAAAAGACATACGAGCTAATTTGTAAAATAATCAAACAAAAAAAAGGGGGAAGAAAAATAAAAGAGCCGAATTTCAAAGAAATACACTTCGCATTTCCGACGTGGCTTTAAGGTCGGTTATAGTGGCTTTCTCAAGTTACAAGAACTTGGAAGCCGACTGTAGGTTAGTAAATAATACCGACATTCGGGGATATCGAGTTACCCAAAATGATTTTTTTATTAAAAAGAGCTTTAGTTATTAGTGCATAAGTTTTAGTATACCTTTTGCATTGATTCTCTGCATAAATTGACAAATACAGTGTACTTAGGTGCAATTTAATGCAAATTTTATTGCAGTTTAATGAAGCAACCATATTTATTTTTGACGGTATAGTTACAGAACTTTTGCAGATCGATTTTATGGGATTAATCGATAAAATTAATCTATTTTAATTATTAATTTTCGTGATATCAAAACAGGGAAATAATGTGATATTTCAAAGGATAAAAAAGGGTACTAATTACAAAACGTTAAGTAGGTACAGGTCTACGAATTTACCATGGCACCTGGGGAAAATATTTTCTGCGCGAAGCAAGGGTCAGTGTGCGACAAGGATAGCATTCGGAATAGAGAGATGGCTATACAGGTAGTGAACGTAGTCGCATTTTACTCGACACTTTGCATTAAACGGACTCAGGGATAATTGGGATTTTCGAATGCAATTATAAAAATTATTTAATACCGTTATTTATTAGAGATTAAATTCAATTAGCTTACTTATATTGAATGCAAATCTCAATATGTTTTGAATGTATAGAAATTGTAATTCGGTGATGTTAAATTAGTTTACTAAGAATAATTATTGCGTTCGCATTCAAGCCCATCAATTTTAAACCGGATTAATTAAATATCAATCAAATATAATAATAAATCTTAATATTAATCTTATACGGGGAATAATTCATTATTGGATTTATAGGAAAATAACATAACAATGAAAATGGGTTTTTCAGAGCCACGAATCTAAAATTTTAGGAATTTCGCTCCCTTAATACGGCTCTGTACTTAGATGTTTAAGCGTAAGACTGTCTGAACAGACTGAGTGCGGAGCGTAATTTAGGGACGAATCTACGGCGCATCTAGGGGGTGGAGCATCTCAGGTGCCATGGTAAATTCGTAGACCTGTACCTACTACTGGTGTACAAATCTACAAATCTGCTTTAATTAGGTAAAAAACTCAGTTGCGTTGGTATACCTATAGTAAAAGTAGATAGTATAGATGGACACATAAGTACAGTATACCTAATTAAAAAGAATTGAAATATTTGCTCTAAATTTAGGTGTAATGTTCATAGCATTTGTATCTTTTGCGCAAATTACGACATCAAGTATAATAAATTAGATTATTTGTAAATGCAGATGAAATAAGCAAAGAAAATAAATGTTTACTATTAATAAATACCCCAGAGAGACGCTCATAAATATCTGGTCTACCAAAAATAAAAGGAGCGGAGCAATGGTTTTAATACGTGCAAACGACATTGCTCAGCACAGCTGAGTAGCAAAATGAAAATAATCACTTTCACCGTTTAGTGTACCGGAACGGAGCGACAGACCGTCTCGAATATTATGCGGCTACCAGGGAGTCCCTATACGCGTATACGAATTACCAGAAGGAAAAAAGAACTATTTACCCAACACTTTCCGACGGGATTAGTTTTAATGGAAAAATATTTTTGGAACTCGGTGCGCACAAAAACTCAACAACGGCTAAGATACGTTCACATAAATCCACGTAAATCGAGCGTGATAATGGAATAGTCATTGTCGGAGACAAGAATATTGTTGTGTTGAATTTCAAATTACAGATTTGCTAAGGATCATTAAAACAAGTTGTTACATATATAACTTTTAAACTACATAAATATAAACAATGCAGCATACCAAATTTAATGTGTTTAGGTATTAAGTAAATAAATTAATTAGTATAGGTATACGGATACATCTATACAGGAGATTTTCTTTGAAGTTCACTGAAGACAGGTGTTCAAGAAATATCAAGAATTCGTTTTCGAAGCATAAAATGTCGTTCTTTCATTTTAAATTCCAAACGTATTAAATTGTATCGTCGTAAACGCAAATGTTCAATTACGACCTTTCACATGTAACCACGAGGTGAACTCCGTTTAATGTTATCAACATTTTCTCACAGCCAGGAAGGTGTAGAATGGAATGATCGTAAAATGTGGACGGAGCGAGACTGGAGCACGTTCAGAAATAAACGACGATAACCTAATGTAAATTAGTGTCGAAAAAAAGGGTTCGGTTTCAGAACTCAAAACGTTATTTAATTGATTATTTCCAAACGATTTGTGTGGTGCACACGATCAGAAAAGTAAGGTTACACTCCCTTATATTGACTTATAATTGATTTAATTCTCGTTTTTATCCATTATTGGATTACTCACGAGTCGAGTGATCCATTTTTTATAAAACCTTCATATTAATACTTTAGCTGCTCCAGTCGGTATATTTATTGAATATAGGCTCTATTAGGAAATGCCTAGGGTAGGTATTATTGCAGCTTTTTTTCACTTTGTAAAAAGTGTAAGTATCTAAATTCTGTGTAAAAACTTTGTTACTTAGAATATACAGAATAGTGTGATGAAAAATGTGTAATATTACTAGTGCTTTTAACTTCTGTAAGAAACAGAGTTATTGCTGTAAAATCAAAGTCGTTTCTACAGTCCACTATAGCCGACGTAAACGGGTTTTAGGAAACAAACTCGAATTAGAAAAAAAGGTAGGTACATGTATGCACTTAATATCATTTAAAAAATGCAAGAAAAAAATCCGTTCTGAGGGAGCGTGCAAGTACCTACTTTCGTTATTTGCGGTTTTAATACTTTAGAAATAGTACATGGCTACCAGTATTAAGTATTTCTTTTGAATGGTATAATTATGTTTGCTCAAACATTATGTTCGAACAGAGATGTAACGGGGGTATTTCGAACATAGGAAATACATTTAGATTTCGGTATTTAAATCATACCAAGGCAAACAGGCATTTAACTGATAGGAATTAAGGAAGGATTCACTTAAAAGAATAGCGGTATTTTCGAAATTATGGAAGAAAATGAGTTTGTAGAAAAATAGATGAAATTTAATATATTTATACAGGAGGAGATTAGAAATTAAGGAGATATAGTATAGAAAGAAAAGGATAATATTGAAAATGATTAATAACTTATAAATATAATCCCAATATAAAAGGAAGAATATTATCAAATTCAACGGCTATACAGATCAACTAATATTTTCAATCAAACAAACTTTGTAGTATTTTCATCTAAATTTGAACACTGGAGAGCTATTGCATTGATTTTTTTTGAGTATTCACTGCGCGATATATGACTGACAAAACTACAGAAAATAAGTTCTTGCTCGATCTGTACCGAAAAAATTCAAATTCCAAGAAACCATTTCACTAATAATTTTTTGCCTCTGGTCATACGCTGTTTCTGCCCTAAACTAATAATCCGTTGAAAAAAGCCTAATATTTGCGGTGTAAATTTGTTCACTAAATGGATTCAAACGCCGGAGGTGTCTAACGTTCCGCCACCGGTTGCCCAGCTGCCGATGGCTTCGCAACCGCATATAGGCAAACATTCGAATAAGTACTAATAAGGCATTAGTTAATGTTTATGCGGATAAACTGCTTTTGAATGAAACTGCTGCCTCGCTGCTTTGTACCTGTTTACCGTCTGTTTAACTTCTATTTGCCTTATTGTTAAGCTTAAAGGAGCTCCGTTATTGTTTATTCGATGCAATAATTATGGTGAAAATATATATAAAAAATTCGCCAGAACTCTCGTGTCTTATTTTTAGGCAAATATTCATATAATCCCTATTTATTACTTACCCGACAATATTAAATATTTCAATAGAATTAATTAATGAAATTCATTGGTTATTAAAGTTTAGGTACAATACCTACTTTTTTCTTTCCCTTTGACCACTAATTGAATTCCTTTTATTCTTCTTTATTACCTTCTTTATAGACACAACATCTTCCAATTTAATGCAGTAATACAAGACCTACACAGTCGTGTTAATGTTGGAAAGAAAAAAAATAAGTGAAATTAAACACTCGAATAATTGTCTAGTTATTCAAATTTATAACAAAAACTTCTCAGTGTGCGATGTGCGCCTCTTTAAACATCCAACTGGGCATCACTTTATAAGA